TCTATTATGTCATACTACCTCCATAAAAACAGTTAGAATTATTCTTGTTATATAGCATTATTGGTTCTAGTAGTGCTGTGTCTGTGCCACTTATGTAGTGTAACACTAAGTGCATTGTTATCTATTTCTATTTGAAAGATTTAAATTAAATATTTGTTCCTAATTAGTGTTTTTATGTGGCAAATACTAGATAACCTGAAAAAGAAGGGTGAAATTTGAAACCATTTGTTCAGAAGTATTTTAAATAATCTTATTAATACTTGCATAGTTAGCATACTTGTGTAAACCACATAAGTCCTGTAAAGACCTTCCATTAAGTGATAAGGGTATTGCTGTTTTCCTCAAAAGCAAGCATTTTGTGCTTTTTGATTATAATCTTCAACATTTCTTTTCAATGTATAAATCATTAAATACATTTATGCCATTTAAAATTGCTTCTAATGTTTCTGTGGATGTAAGACTGCTATGAAACAAATTTCCTTGAAAACTATTTATTTTTCCTATATTCTAATTATGTCTGTCTTTCACTGTGAGAAAAAAATAGAGACATTAGACAAATGAAGCAGAGGAAGATTTTTGCTAAGTAATAATTTTTCTCTAATCTCCACTGTCTAACTTGTACTGCATTAATTTAATCATGTTTAGATAGAAGATAATGCTTTTTTCCCTAATGTCTATGAAATATTCCAATTGTTCTGTCTTGCAATTTAACAACCCTTTCACATTTCTTACACTGACCTTAGTTTCCATTCACATTTCTAAAGACTTTTTTGTCTTAAAAATAACATAATTGAGTAGAAATGCATAATCAGTGATGCATCAAATCTCTGTGAAACAATATTACATTAGGAAAATACCATCTACTTTGGACTAGGTTAAATTTCAGTAAACACACTTCCTTACACTCTTACATCCTAAAAAAGAAATATTGCAGCAGCATTTACAAGGAAATGAAACATGTTGTATCCTTCTGTTGAAGACAGCCAGAGGAAAAATGGGTCCTCTCTGGCATTTGGAGCCTCAATTGACTCACCTTTGAGGTGTGTCAATTGATTAATTGTATTATTATTGTCTGTATTAATATTCCCATCAGAAATCAGCATTACTCAGTAGTGGTATTGCATGGTAAAATACCCCCTGTGTTTTTGGGTGTGTGGGTGTTTGCTCTACAGTTGTGGATACTGTTCAGCTGTTAACACTTTCTTTGGCAAATACTGGCCTGACCCAATTGTCATTCTGCGGTGCCTGGACACAATTCAGGGAGTGTCAGAGTGAGCAGGCAGGATGGATACTCCTTCAGCAGAGGGGAAGGATGTAACCCATGATGTACCAGCATCTTCTCCCAAGTAGCAAGCAAAAGGACAAGAGGGAACAGTCTCAAATTGCTCCAGAGAAGGTTTAGATTAAATATTAAGAAAAATTCCTTTACTGAAACAATTATGAAGCACTGGATCAGGCCTCTCAGAGAAGTGGTTGAGCTCTCATCCCTGCAGGTAATTAAACACATGTAGCTGTGGCACTTAGAAACATAGTGAAGTGTCAGACTTGGCCTGATAGGCTTGGTGATCTTAAAGGTCTTTTCCAGCCTTAACAATTCTGTGATTCATTTGCTCTTGAGCTCTTAAAATTGAGGAGATCCTTGTCCCTTTTGATTTACAAAAGGAATTATGAATTCTGTCTTCCAAATTATCCCTTCCATATACATGTTGTTTTTCAGAGTTTTGCTGTTTATAGCCAAATGGTCCCAGTGAAGAGACCACTGGGAACCAACTGTGTCTTGATCTTCTGCCATATAGTCTACCTCAGGCTCCCCTCAGGTGCCTTCATTCTTCTAATTGTGTCTTTCTGTGGGTCATTTTTAAAAAGTAATTATTTGTTTGGTTTTTTTTCCCAAGTGAAAAAAAGGTCGATGTCTCTCACTTGATTCTGGTTCTTTTGTAATACCTACATAAAACGCTTGCCTTCTGAAATTATACTTTATGATGAAATACTATTGCACTTTGCTTATGCATTTTTATTTAACTGGACTCCTGTTTGCTATCCCATAGCTTCAACCCTTAGTCCATGTTGTTAGTCACAATCAGCATCTCATCAAGAAGCACATTAGACATAACAAATGACATTTTATGAGGTACATAGGAGGTATGCAAGTGTAGAAAATCATATTTTGTACAAATTGGTGAGCAAACTCCTGACCAAACTGTCACAATATATGTGTTTTCCTATGAAAAGAGTAGGAAAAAATGTCTCAGTTACAAGAGATTGTAAATAAATTATCTGGAGGAAAAGGCAATCTGCTGTATAAATATTTCAAGTTTTGCAATTGAAGCCTTTACATTGATCTGCGCTTAGAGGCCTGTCCTTATTTTTTAGCAGATAATGTTATGTCAAAGCAATGTTTAGTTCTACATAGCAGCTGTTGTATTCATACTTAATTATGCCAGATTTAATCTTGACTACATTCAGCAGGAGCACCCAGTTGTGCTGACAAATCTAAAATCATTTTCAGTAATATTCTGTCGCAAACCCCTTGGGCTCTCTGAGGTCGAGTTCCCATATTATACCCAAACATCCCAGCAGTAGATTCAATTGGTGTCCAACTGGAACTCTGCAGTAGCAGAGGTAGACAATATGAGACAATTTCTCAAGAGTATTACTTTCCTAATCATTTTAATTGCCCCTGCCTGATTCACCAGTGCTTGTGTATTCATTTGTACTTGTTCAAAGCAAATGCAATTTGATTTTACAATACTCTCAAATTGCTGCAATACTCATTTTACATGTAGAAAGAACAAGACAATAAAGTGGATAATCAGGGTTTCAGGGTTTCAGAAGGAGAACTGAAACCTTGCATAGAGGAGAAGCAATAGAAGTCAAGGTTCACTTATGCAGTACTTCAAAGTGTATCCTGTAAATCCCAGGTCATGGCACAGAGCGGGCACCTTGATAATTGCAGTGATACTGTAATGAGGAGATGGTATATTAATCGGGAGAACAGAGGGTGAGAACCTAGTTTAACTGAGAAGAGCAGACAGCTGTGGTTGCTGGAATAAAATCAGCTTTTCTGGAGAGCACTTCATTGCAGGAAACATGCTGGAGTGTTCTCAGGCACTCTTGACAGAAGCTCTACTCCTTCCCCTTGCTCTCTGCAGCAGGAGTGTAGTAAACTGTATGTGCCAAAATGGGATGAGGAAAGCACTTCTCACCTTTCCCAGCTCAATCCCCAGCAATTTAGGGTGCTTATTTAAAACGTAGCAGAGTTCAGTTTGTTTTTCTAGAAAAGTCTGATTATCTTTCATGCCTTTCTGCTACATGCCTGAGCTCCTTTCTGAGTATTTTTAGGTTGGTATGCCACCTTCTTGACTGTTTGTGCCATTCCAGTTTATATAAATAATTATGCAAAGGCCAGAACTATGGTGTCATCTCTTCTGATGTGTTTTGTAATTTTTCTAATCTGCCATGATAAATAATTAATCTTTACATTACAGTATGAAGTCCTAGAGATAGTTTGGAATGTCAATTAGCAACTTGCCCAACAACGCCAAGTAGTACATGTCTACAACTTTAACCTACTAGAATATTCTTATTTTGAAAGAAAAATCTGTTTTGCAGATAGTGACAGTAAGAATCAGGGAATTTGATGTCCTAGGTTAGGATGAGAAGTAGAGCTCCACACCTCAGTTCTAGTTTCTAATTCCAGTCTCGCTCAGAGGACTGTACAAAGAGAAAGATAATTTACAGCAGCAATTAAGAGGCATAATTTCTTCTGTAATGTGAAAATTGAGGGAAATTCTTACCATAGACTGGCTTAAGTAACTTCAGGAAGCACAAACAAATCTTAATTTAACATTTGTAAAGCAGGTGCTTCTTTGCAGCTTTAAGTCCTTGTGGACTGGATAGCTTTGTGTTTCTTACCTGTAGCCAGAGCTGAGCAAGTGTGCTCTTCAAGGTGAATTAATGCTGATCACTGTGAACTTCCTGATCCATCTGGGCAGTGCTTTCTCAGTGGATGTTCATTTACTGGGAATGCATTGTGCAAGCACCGTTTGGATTTCTAGGGCTGTGCAGCTCTTTGTAGGTCACTGGTGATGCTGATGGGGCTTGCAGGCAGTTTTCACTCCTCCAACATTTTTCTCAGCTAGAGCTTGGTCCTGGATGCAGAAAATAAGAAGGGAACCAGAATCATTCTGCATGGCTAATGTGATCTCTCATGCTTGGCTGAGGGGGGAAATCTAACACATTTCCAAGAACTTAAGTTTCATTTCCGGCAGTTTGTCACATATGAAAGGAGGAGAAGAGTGTTTGAGAATATGCTGACAGTTAATTACATTTTGGTTTCAGGCTAGAAATGACAAAGCATTTTGATGTTACCTATTTTGAGAGGAGTCAAATATCCAGAAATAGGAACCTAGGTACAGTACTCAGGATAGCACCTTCGCACCTTCACGAAGTTGTGTGTATTCAGTCTACAGCTGTCTTATTAGAAAGAGTTCCAAAGTGGGGAGAAGTTGGGATACCTAAATCAAAGCTGCAGAAAGATTCCACAGTTTACTTAGCAAATTCATGGCTTGACATATTTTCATTGGAGTAGGTGCCTAAAATGCCTCTTTCCAAGAATGGTGCAGGGTGCTTGAAGGAGAGACTAGGTGGGCATTCAGAGCTGTAATCCTCTAAATCTACTTCAGAGGACTGTTATCTTTAGCATATACTCTTTTTTAACTGGATGGACTGACTGATGTTTTATCCTGCTTAGGAGAGGTATTTGTATTTCTGTTCAATAAGGTTGTGGGATTTCTTCATTAGCGTCTTTAGGAAAGTGTTATGATCTAGATGACCTAAGAACTTGTGAATTTCTTGGATTTCAGTAGAATACATGGTGTAACCCTTATCTTTAGATATAGTATTTAGGCTGCTTGTATTTAATAATATTATTAAGATGCATGTGCGTTTAACTCTCCATTATATCTGCATATCATTCTTTTGTTTTTTTTATTTTTCAGGTTTCTTGTCTATATTTACATAACTACTGCAAGCTATCTAGTCTTACGAAGTTGAACTTCATTCTTCAAGTGTGATTTACTCAGTACAGCTTAAAATCATGATGAAAAAGATGAGCATATCTACAAGCAAAACTTCCCTGGTCCTCTTTCTGTGCCAAATTATTTCTGCACTGGATGTACCTCTTGACTGTAAGTATTAACCTGATAAAGAAGTGCAGAATGATGGAAGAATAATTAAATAATTTCTGTAGGAAACTGAAGATAACTCCAACATGGAGCTAAAAATAGAGTGTGTTTGGTCACTTCAATCAGAACATTATAATTATGAATATTTACACTGACTTACTGAAGATTTTCAAAACCTGTGCATATAAAATTAGTTACACCTGCTCAACTGAACAAGGTAACACAGGATTGTCACAGAATCCTAATTACACTTTGCTGTGCCTTTGTTTGATCAAACTGAGGAAAGCCAGAAAAGCCCTGCTAAATGTTAATTATTTGTGAAATTAAGATTACATTGATATTTTTCTAAAAATCCCAGGACAGTTCCTAGTGGCTTTAAACAATCACCCTTACCTTCAGAGAAGAGGTTCCCAGGAGCTGGTATGACAGCTAGTAAAAAATTAAAATACCTAAAATTCAGACACTCAAAGCATCTTATTTTTTTGATGCAAAAGATTTCTTTGCATCAAATAAGATTTCTTAGATTTCTTGAGTAGTACCTGAAAACAGTTAATTTTTTCTTAAAAACATGTTAGAAATGTCCTGGGCAGGGAACTCCAGCATTAACACATGAGGAAATGCCTGGAGGAGGGGAAATCCCATTATCTGAAGTTCTTGTCTAATATATGACTCTGTTAGTGGGGAACCTTGAAGATAGCACTCCATGCTGAGAAGGAAGCAATGGTAGTTTCTGTGTTTTACATTCTTAATAGCTAATTTAGTAAATTACTCATGTTTTAGGTTATTGCTTGATCACATGATCACATGAACATGATCACATTTTCAGAATTCAGTGAGCCATGTTGCACCTCTCAGTGATGATTCATTTGTTAAACTAATTTCCAGAGAAGGGAACATTAGGGCTGGTGTTTAATTGATGGATAAATACATCAGTAAAATTGCCTGTGATTCTAATCTGCATGTTTTTCTTTACCCCATGGTTTTGATACCTTCTGTCCTTCCAGAAATGCATGTTTTTCTTTAATAATCATTGACATACATTGCAAGTGCTTTGGTGTTTTTTTTCCCCCCATGCATTTTACAAGCTTATCAAACCAATGACCTGTATTTCTGTAACAAAATCAATATATCTGAATGACATCCAACTTGTTGTGTTGCAAATGCTTTTAGAGGAAAAAGCTGTGGGTTAAGGAAGGCTTTGAAAATTCGATGAATGTGTTACTTTCAAAACCTAATTTTTCACCTTAAACATCTTTGCAGGCTATAAACAGTCTTCTAAATCTATCTTGTAGTTTAGCAACTAATATAGATTCTGTACCTCTTTAATATTGTTACCTTAAGAAGATTTTGGGTTTAATTTGCCAGAAATGCATCAATAGACAAAAATTAATAGCCCTTTTGGATGTATAATTTTAATTCTGTACTGAGAATTTAATTCCCTTCTACTTCATTCTTAATAACTTTGTGAGGTCTGATAAAGTCACATATTTGAATTTTTAGCCAGAAGTTACATCTGGAATGATGGTATCGTTTTCATAACTAATGGTGAGAATTGGTCTCTGGGAGAGCGCCACAAGGGAAGGACTTAGATTTTTTGTGGATCCTGCCTGAATATCAACCATAGAGACCTGGTGGTGAGAACCTACTTGATTAGTTGAATATTTAGGTCTCATCCAGGTTAGAAATTTCTATTCATAGCAAGTTCACTAGTTCCTAGCCAGTGTTTCTTCAAAGCAGGCCAGGAATGACTGAAAATGTAGGGACAGAAGGACATTTGGCCTATTGATAAAGAGAGGTGTTTATGCAAAACGTTGGAATTAAGTAATAATTCCAATTAACTAAGATGATTATTTTTTTGTTTAGGTGTTTTTCAAACCAGAAAGGGTTGCAAGCCTGTTGAGTAGGATTAGGTGCTTTTGTCTTTACAAGAGTAATTTTAGCCCGAAGCATTCTCTTTGTTCTTCCGTGTGATCATATGGGTGGATTGATTTTGACTGCAGTATGAGTGCAGTACACTCCATTAATTCTGATTTGCTGCTGTCACCTCAGTATTTGTGTTTTATGGCCTTGCAAGGCCAAAATCACATAGCATGGTTGCCATTAAAAAGTCAACACTTCAGGAAAGTTTCTCATGCCAAGAGCTTTAAGATAAATGTAGTAATATCTGACACAATGGAAATTGTGGTTGGAATTTCAGGCATCGCTGCATGGGTTGCAGTGCTGAATGTTTTAAAAGTTTTCTTTCGAATGGTGACCAATGCACTTGTCAGAGATACTTATCTTCCCTCTCAAAACTGCTAATTTTCTCTTCACTAACAAATGTTTCTCTTTAATCTCCATTTGTCCATTCAACTGCTGATTCTGATGTGGGAATAAAAGCAAAACTTCTTGAAGAATGTAAGTTACTCTTCACTAAAAATAGGCTGCGTGCTGCTGAAAATTAATGCAGATTGTGCTGCAAATTGAATTTGCATTCCAAAAATGTGTGATTCTGACATCTTGCTGATAACTTTGTTTGCTATATCTAGATGTTTTGTGCATGCAGTGTTCAGAAAATACTAATGTACATAAAACAACATTCTGATATTCTGAATAAATTAATTGTGTGATTTTTGGTGGTGTGCTATTTGAACATTAAAATCTTCACTCAATATCAGCATGTGCAGTGTTTTATTACTACTTTCAGGAGTAAATATATTTGATAAAAATTGTTGGAATTTATGTACTTTTGTACTACGTTACATATCTGATGTAGACATATTTTTACATCCACAGTGGATATAGCTGTTTAGGTAGACCTCAAATTTTATGGACTCTAACTTAGCTTTAGTTTTATGGTGAATTTAATCAGTTTTAAGTGCAGTCCATAACACAGGAGTGGAGATTTCAGGTCTTTGATGTGTATCAGATGGAAGATCCTGTAGGCTGGGCAGTGTTTGTGTCATATCCTTTTTCAGACTGAATTTGCCATCTGATGCATACTGACCCTGAGAAATGCCTCTGAGAGGGAAAAGAACTGCCTTCAAAAACTCCTAAAGAAATACACATGAAGGCATCATGTAAGAATGTTGCCTTCCTTTTTCAAGGATTCTCCCCTATGCAGTGAGGAGCAGAACCCAGTTTTCCATGGCCTGTTTTGTTCTGCTTAGCTCCTGTGTTTTTTTATGATTCCATGGTCTGATTTCTTTTCATCACTGTTTCTTGCAGCTAGGGTTTTACAGACAGCTACCTCTGTCTGTGCAAAGGAGCACTTTATGTGTAATGGTATCCTTAAGGAAGACTTAAATAAAAATCCCAGTTGTAAAATTTTAACTGTCTAGTGTGAGGCATGAGAGCAAAACTAACTCTAATGATGGAAATATTTTGTTCCAGTGGCTAGAAATCACTCCAAAGCACAAGCAAAGGGTATTGCTGGACAGGTGATTTACAGCACTTAGACAGGGATGTTCATGGGCATGTTATTAAACAAATTTATTTAGGTGACACTAAACTATAAGCATATGAATAACGTTGATTACAACACCTTTCTCACTATCTTGATATCATAAACAGTGTTTTTTAATGCAAAAATGGGCATAGATAATAGTAATAGGTTATAAATTACCATAGGTAGACACCAGCTGCTTTGTCAGGTGAATCAATTTTGTTCTGTGCTACTTGTTTAATATTAATTGAAAAATGACAAATGTTAGATGATTGGCTGTCCTGGGACAGTTCCAGAGACTATGTTCTTAATAGATTTCTTAAGGAGTGTTGGTGCTTTACTTTTCCTATGTGTTTACTTTATTTGAAAACTAGATACTATTTTTGTCATTTGTAACAGTGTCTTTTGCTTATAACACATTTTTACTCCTGAAAAGTAGTTCTTAAAAGCATATTTTATAGATTAATGCAATATCTTAAACAAAATAAATGTGTGGACATGCAGAGAATTTGAAAATATACAAAATGTTTAGAAGCACAAAGCAATATATATTTTTCTTTCTGTGTGGTACAAAACCATTTTGTGGAGATGTATGTCTTGCAGCTCTTGATTTCAGATTTCTTGGACTTAGAATTTGTGTCCTTTGGTTTTGTAAAAATCTGTTGAAATCTGAGGTATAGAAATGATATTTTCATTAAACGTTTTAGCCAAGATCTTCATCCGCTGTAAATCAGGATAGCTCAGTTGGAAGTTAGCATAGCTACACTGATTTACAAGGGTGGAGAGCTTCAGCCTCCTGATACAAAGGATGCTTTAATCCCACTCTTCTGTCAATGATGTGGTTGCTAAATGCAATTCTTTCTCTGCTTACAAAAGTGTCTTGATAGTGCTTTGAAAATATTGTTGAAATCCTCTCTCTTTGTTGTATTTCATAATGAAGTGTCACAACCTCCTACGATAACTCAGCAATCTCCAAAAGATTACATTGTTGACCCTCGAGAGAATATTGTAATACAGTGTGAAGCCAAAGGAAAGCCACCTCCTAGGTTAGTAGCTTTTTTTTTTTTTGCTTTTATTGGCCTAAGAGTATGGAAGAACTATGAGAACATACTGTAATTTTTGTAAACTAACAAGATCAAGATTATATGTATGAATGTGCTTGCACATGCAGGAACATGCACACATCTGTACCTCTGTAAATTACACAGCTACCAGATAGCACCACAGTTTTGACTCTTATCACACTTGACATTTAAATGTTTCTAGAGTCATCAAGCAATTGTAGCATTTTTTTCTGCTCAAAACTCTAATAGTAAAATAATGCTTGATTATTACAGATAGGTAAATGCCCATGGAACACACTAGGAGGCATGCTGTTCTATGAGCTGGATCATGTGCCAGGTTCAGGCATAGTCTTTAAGAACAATGGGCGTTAAACAAAGTCAGGCTAACACTAATGCATTCAAATGTAATGTTTTGTAAATAATTCCATTTAATGAGGCTGATCTTGAAATACAGTTTGTCAGAAGTTATGTAGTCTGTATCAGTCTTATTGATCAGCAGCCTTGTGTATTTACTAGCTTAAAGTTTTGGTTTTGGCACAAATGGTTCAGATTCCTGTTCTTTGTCCATTTTAAGATTATCTTTCAGCATCTTGAAATATTTGACAGCTACTCCTTTCTAGTTACTGAGTACCTGCACTGGAAACCTCAGTAGCTGATACACTCTGGCATTGTTAGTAACTGCTGCTGATTGCAGAGTCTGTGAACATAAAAATGCCCTTTACTCTACTCCAGCAGTGTTACGCTACACCTTATTAGCAAGGTCCGTCTAAAACTGCTCATTCAGACACAGACAGAGCTTGTTAGATGTATTTCTTCTGAATAACCAGTTTTATTTCTGTGTTACTCCTGCTGGTTGCCTTGGCATCATGGTCATTATCATGCTGGGCAGCAGAATGGAGAAGGTGGAGATTATGTGGGATGCTCTCACCCTTTCTAGTGTTCCATTAAGGACAGGAATTCTACAGAGCTGCTTTGTTTGACAGCATTTTAATTTTGCTGGCCCAATACCATTTTTAAGAGTCTAGGTTTTTACCTGAAGGATCAGGTGATTATTGTCCACTTTGGGGCAACAGTATTGCTTCTGCAGATGTTTCTCTTGAAGACTTTTGGTTGGAATTACCTGAGAGAAAAAGAGTGCTGCCTGTGAGACGGACATATCTGAGCCATGTACCAAGGCTCTCTGCTGCACATCCTCATCTTCCCCATCAAACATGGCTTTTTTTCTGTGCTACAGAGGAAGTGACAGGTTTTAAGTAAAGAAATTTCTAATGAGTTTTCTAGGCTAGTGCTTAGTCTTGCTTATTTTTTAAGATATGAAATTTATTTAATTTGTATCAATAGTTAGTCTGCTTAGTCCATCACTCTTGGTAACCTGCAAATGCATATTGGAACTTGAACTGCTTCAGAGCTCTGAAGTCAAAGGTGGACTTTCTCAGCCCACAGTGTGAATTGTGTGATATCAGTGAGATAACAAGTTATGGGTGAGAGCACCTGGCATAAATGTTTGTGGATGTGCTGCTACCTATAGCTAGAGCAGCGAAGACTCTGACTGTCACTCATCTCAAATTCAGGGGTTTGTACCCTTTTTCCACCTCTCATTTGAATCTACATTACGCTTTCTTGCATTCTTAATATTATTGGTAGCAGAAACGCCACATTCTGAAACTTCACCTGCAAAGCTGTAAGAAAGAGGTTCACTGTTAATTCACTTTGCATGGTAGTCCTCTCAAAAGCACTGCATTGCTGCAGGTCAAGTTCTCTCCCCCAACACAAGGTGCAAATATCATGTCCAGTCCTGCTGCAGAGGGTCAGTGCACAATTTAATTCAGTTAGAATTTGAGTTTTTCCAGTGCCATTTTACATTTATACTTTAGGAAGCATTCTAACCAACACAAAGAGTGTTTGTACTTAAGATTCTGAAGCTGAAATGTAACGAGTACAAAAACTGCTCTTCACAGTGTTTGGAGCTGTGAGTGCTCAGCACATCATAGATGTTGGTCAAGCTCTCTGTGACTATACTTCTGACCATAAACAGGGCATAAGTAAGAAAGTGGTGTTTATGGTCTAAGTTGCAGACTGTGAATCTCTGTTTCTTTACAATTTTTTATGAGTTCTGTCAGTCTTCATTTTCAAGGACTACTTTTCAAAATATTTCTTGTTTTGAGTAGTATCAATATAAATTTACTGGGTCAAATAAAGGCTCTCAGACTATATAATTTCTATTAGAGAATTATGTTTGCATTAGAATAGTGAAAAGTACTTGGACTCAGCCTCACCACAGTCTTTAATTCACTTGCATAACTTCAAAATCGCCAACCAATTAAAAGAAATGGCCTCCTGCTGGGGCCTGAGATGACACATTTCAGCCCTGAGCAAGTTTTTAAAGACAGGTTTATAAAGCCTTTCAACAATAGGTTTTATAATGGAAATGCTAATGCAGCTTTAGCAATATCAGTTCTTGCAGATGTTTCTGCATGATTTTGAGTAGGAAGCAAATCAGTTATTTTCCATGTATGATTAACCTCAGAAATTTTTAATGTATTTTTTTAAAAAATAATTCACTTTGAAATAGCTCCTTTTAATATGTTTAGCCAAATCTTTTATCGTAAAATATTGCCAGGTTTCTTAGAGTAAAATTTCTGTATTGCTTTATTAGTTAATTTAGTTTGGGAACAAGTCTTACTTATCTGCTAATGAAAACATAATATGTATTTTTGTTAATTATTTTTTCTCATTTTTCTTCATACATCTACAAAAAGCAGCTAAGAATAAACATTTTATTTTTTTTATATTGTTTTAGCTTCTCCTGGACGCGCAATGGAACTCATTTTGATATAGATAAAGATGCCCAGGTAACAATGAAACCAAATTCAGGGACTCTTGTCATAAATATTATGAATGGTGGGAAAGCAGAAGCGTATGAGGGAGTTTACCAGTGTACAGCAAGGAATGAAAGAGGAGCAGCCATTTCCAACAATATCGTTGTGAGGCCTTCTAGTAAGTAAAGCTCTTAATGTTCATAAAGTGTGAAGCACTTTGTTTTTCTTATTTGCTTATGAACTTTTTGCCTTTTTGTTTTCCTGTCTTTAAACTTCAGTCATCCAAATGACCATGCTAGAAGTTATTGCCCATTTTCTAATACTGAGGTATAATACTGTATTACAGGTTCTGTCAAATATGGTTTTTACAAAAAATTAATTTTAATTTTTTAAACTTTTTAAAATTTAATTTTTTTATCTGGATAACCTTATAATACTTAAAACTGAGTTGTATGTATGACACCACTGCTAGAATTAAATATGTACATCTGTAAGGCTTTAAGGATAATTTGTTGACATTGATGGTATAATTGATGACCACAATTTTAATTGTTTATGAAGTCTACTCCATAGTTTTTGTAATAGCTTTAAAACATAACAGATTTGAACTAAAAAGAAGATAAATTTTTTTGAATATAGGTAGATCGTTTCTACAGCTTTTTATGAGCTTTGTCTCAGTTTAGTTTTCAGGCTTCTCAGCTTAATATGTACTGTTCTCACATCTTAATTAAAGAGTGCATGTATAATACTGCTTCAGGAATGTCTACCCCTTTTTCTATTTTAGCACATCACCTTTTTTTCAGTATAGTTAAAAATTTGCAAGATATTGCTATAAAACCTTTAGTGAGTAGACAAAATAATTTGAATCAGTTCATCATACTTTCAATAAATCATTGATATACTTTTCTTCCAAGAAAACAAAAAAGAACAAAAATAAAAGCTTTAGCAAACATGAAAGGACTTAACATTCTGATGGATGTAGTTCTTTCATTTCTCTGGAGTACTTTGTGCATTTTCCCTTAAAATTTTTGACTTTTTGCCAATCCAAAGTTTGTGTGTGTGTCCGAATCCCTTTCTGCAGGATCGCCTTTGTGGACGAAAGAAAAGCTGGAACCAAATCATGTTCGCGAAGGTGATTCCCTAGTGCTGCACTGCAGACCTCCTGTTGGCTTGCCACCACCTATCATATTTTGGATGGATAATGGTGAGTTTGTTTTTTTTATGCAGTTGACTTTTTACTAGTTTTTCTAGTAGATCATTGCTTACCAAAACCACAGATGGTGAAGTTTCCCTCTAAGTTAAAATTCAGTGGATTTCTATTTCTGTAGAACAGAGGAAACAAGCAGACATATAGCCCAAAAGCATGAAGCCAAAAGCAGCTGGGTGTCTTGATGTAAGTTTTAGATTAACCCACTGGGGAAGAATGGGTAGACAAGGGATCTCATCAGGAAGCTTAGAAATGTCTGTGCATGTACCAAGGCACAAACAAGTGTAACTGAATGAATGTGGAGTCTGCAGATCATAATAATAGAGTGTGTCAATTATATTTAACATAAATGTGTGCTTTCTTTCCCTCAGCTTTCCAAAGGCTGCCTCAAAGTGAAAGAGTTTCCCAAGGTCTAAATGGAGATCTTTATTTTTCTAATGTACAACCAGAGGACACCCGGGAGGACTATATCTGCTACGCAAGATTTAATCACACACAAACAATACAGCAGAAACAACCCATATCTGTAAAAGTCTTTTCAAGTAGGTATTGCATCACCAAATTACATACTTACACAGTATTTATCCAGAGTTCTCAAGTTACATGTTAAAGTTAAGTAGTGTTATGCTAGGGAATTTTTTCATTTCAATTTTAAATAAGAAATTACATTACTGTATGAACTTGAAAAGTAATCTCCAGTTTTCTTGATAGATAATTTATTTTAAAAGCTATAATTTTTCACTTTATAAGGCTTTGTGTTTTGAAAAAATGTTTAAGATTTGATATTTACAGTGTAAAAAATAACAGTTTTCAAATGTTTTTCCAGTGCAAGAATATGAAGTTATTATGATTATTGTAACTATTGAAGCAAATTAATCAATCACTTGATTAACTCACCGTGGCCATGTCATCACCTTTTGATTCCCAGAACTTTTATTTATCCCTTTTTTATGCTTTCTTCATGATATTCTGTTTATTTCAGTGGATTCATTGAATGACACTATAGCTGCTAATTTGAGTGACACTGATATTTTTGGTGGTGAGTTACACTGGTCCCCACTGATACTCCTTGTTTTACAGTAGCATTTAGTTAACTAACTTCACCTCCATGGCTACTTAATCTTTTGCTCCTTTTTCAGTTTCTAATAAAGGTATCAGTTAGTGCTGGTGATAATACATACCTTACAAAGGGACTGCACAGTGTGATCCTTTCAAATATTTAATTTTTATATAATCTTGTAACATATAACTCATAGAAAATATAAACACTTATAATAAAAGACTGCTTTCACACTGGTGCAGATTTTAAAAACAACTTCTATACTGTGTTGATTTTTTTTAATATATTTTTCTCCCAATTTACCTAGTAGTTTGATTATGTTCATTATCACTAGGACTATTCAATGTCATGTGCTGCATAATAAATAACAACAATTAAGCGCCTAACAGATCCACTTCACATTTAATAATTTACTGAATGTACCAATAAATTCATAGTGGTAGGATAAGTTTTGTTTGTTTGGTGTTTAAGCTGGTCTTTCCATTAATCTATGTTGAATGGTCTTTTGTATGTTCTGAATTAAATCCTCCTGAGCAGATGTATGTGTGTTTAGCAAGGCTGACTGTGGAGCACCACTGATTCTAGACTCTCCACTTGATATTGGGTTACATAGAAAGTACTTGATATTTATTCTATTTTTTGTCTTTCTCTTTGTGAAATGGGGCTTTGTGCATATTAAACCATAACTTACATTATCCAATAAAACATGGGCACAGAATATATTACTTCTCTACATAAAAATTGCATGTTATTCAGGAGGGACAAACAAGAAATAAGTATCTGAACACAAAGTGATGTGTTAGGTACAATTAGTGAGGACAACACTGTTGGGTTGGCTCCCAGCTCAGAACCACCCTGGGTAATTGTTCTGAGCACTCACAGTCTGGCCAAGTGAGTCTGCAGCCCCTGGGTAGGTGAGCTGCTGCTGTGACTGTCGGCTGTGTTCTTGATTCTGGACTGCTCTGTTCTCCCACAGCTTTGAGTTGATTGTGTACAGATTATTAAGAAATTCACAGCACATACTGGATTAAAATGAAGTGTTGTATTTATGCTAATGTATCAGTAAATCATGTACCCTAACAAGCTTTGAGTTTATTATGTTTCTAATCCCAATTTTAAAAAACAAAATTATTTATTGTAATGGTTCAGACTCTTACAACATTTCAGAGCCATTTAATTCTATATATTAATATTGTTACAAGAGAACATTAGACTACTTACAGAAAACAGTATAATTACAGAAAACTCTTATTCTAAATTCCATGAAGACATAGGAAATACCATATTCTTCAAAAGCCAACAGAGTGTAATAACAGAAATTAGTCTTATGTTTATAGCTGCCTGTGCTTATTACTTACAGGTTAATCAAGGTTCTCTATTGCAAGACTGGGGAACAACTTAAGTTAAAGTTAAATATAGTAAGAGGAAAATACCAGGATTAATTTCTGAAACAATACCTCACATGGTCTAGAAAATATTAAAACATATTCTGAAGCAGACTGTACCTTCCGCTCCCTTGGTTTATATTTCTGATTAAAAATAACTTTGCTATATTTTTATTTTGATGGAAGCCCAGGAATTTTCAGTAACACTCAGTCTTGCACTGTGCCTGACACCAGTGGCCTTACTCTCCATTATAATTCTGTTGAACGAAACAGCAGCTATTTAGGATTAAGACTGCACAGTTGCCTGTGTAAAAGCTTTGTATCAATTGTTCCTGTCTTTTAATAATAACATTTCTCTTCTATGTGTTCAACATTGTGGCATTTAACAGATATGTTATGTCTGTCAAAAAACTAATGTGTTCAGCTTTGTAGTTGTGCTGCACAATGATTTTTAATCAAATGGCCAATGTGGAGCAAAATCTCTGTTCAAAATGTGAAAATGGATGTATGCACTTATTGGTATCAGAATAAAATTTAGAAATTAATTGTTTTACTACTTCTTGTTCCAGCAAAGCCAGTTACAGAAAGGCAGCCAGTTCTTCTAACACCAACAGGTAGCACAAGTACCAAAGTGGAACTCAGAGGAAACGTGCTTTTGTTGGAGTGCATTGCAGCAGGATTGTGAGTAACTTTTGAGACTTTTTTTTTTTCTAAATAGAAATACAGAAACAGAGGGAAACATTTCAGACATGCTTAAAAACGTGGCTGCTGTGTAAGCTTATGTGTTTCGAAGAAGCAGAAGTGTAAAATGGAAAGAGGTTTTTTAAGGAGCTCCATCATTTACTTGGGCATCAGCAGACTTTGAAACTGGCTATGAATGTGTATGGCTTCTGCCTTCTCTTATCTCCAAACTCTATGCACAGGATATAGATTGGGCCATTGTTTGTAAAGGACACAGACAAGAAATGCTATAGACTAATCTCAGACATATATCCACAGATTTGCAGTCAGGAATAAAGCTTCTGTTGTTTTCCTAACTTTACAGTTATTAGGTTCTCAAATTATATAAAAATAGATAAGAATTTGCTGTTCTAATCCAAGAAAACTGCTTATATGTGGTAATAATTGCTTAGCTGTGCTAGGTGGGAATTGTTAGAACAAATCTTCAGGTCCTTACATCTATTTTCTCATTGTACTTGAGCTTAATTGGTACTTGTTTCTTCAGTGCAGTGGAAGTTTGCTTTTGCAGGTTATTGTGCAAAAAGAAAATTACTAAGAGCAATTTAACTTCATGAGTTAGGTTGACCTTTAAATCAGTTTCATTCTCAGGAAGAAATCTGAGAATAGATTGGTTATAGAATAGAAGCAGAAAACCTTTAGTGCCTGTTTCAAGAACTGTAAACATGTTTGCCGTGCACAAAGGCAGGGTGCTCTCAGGTAGCCATGAGGAATGCCAAGCATTGCAAATCATGCCCCATACACATGTATTTATTTGCATGAGCTCCACAGGGCGTGCTTAGCACAGCCTGATCTGAGCCTCAGTGCAGTATTTCTCTCTCAGCTGTGCCCTGCTCAGGCGCCTGCCCCAGCAGCACCAGCAAAACCACCCCTGTGAGTGGAATTAGCACCAGCCCAGGTAGTCTGCATCTGAAATATAGTTATATGCCTTTTGACAACCCTGCAATGAAAGTGTTAGATGATCCAAATTCCAGTAAAATGGCTGGATAAAACCTATAGAAAAAAAATTGACTATAATATATGGCTTTGTGTCTTTAGCTGTCATGTAATTAAAAAAAACAAGTAATCAGTGAGGGAATACTTGTCTACAAAGGGCCAGATGCAGATTTTATTTGAAACAACTATTCCCAATCACTGACATCATACTAAAAGTCATCTTTTCCAGGTGTCTGTGCTATAAAATATGTGATATTAGACTGCTAAGGGAATATTTGCTTAGAGCCATTACTATTTGAGAGAGCATATTCTACTCAGTAAGCAACAAACTGCAATTTCTTGTAATTTTCAAAGTATATCTCCACGTGTTTGAACAGCTTTCAACTTCTGTGGACAGCATGGGGCATAGCCAAGATTTAGACTCAGTGCAGTGACAAGAAGTTATACTTGGCTAAATACGGACAATTTTTCTTCATTTCACACAAGAAATGTTTCTGTCTCCTTACACGTCTTTTGTGAAGTGTGTGGTGTTCATGAAGTATTAGGATATTGCTCACACAAAGGTTGTCATTTTATGGAAGCTACCTTTAGAAGCACCATAAGCATCAATTTGATAGTAGAAGCTTGTCTTCATTTATTAACCATCAGGTTTTTAGGTTAATCAGCAGACAAATGTATTCTGTAATTATTAATCCTATGAACAGATGGCCATTGACAATGTTAGTGAGACTTGTCATTTCCCAGAAACAAATGTTGGCATATTTTCATATTTGTTGGATGTGACCCAGAATCTGGGTAGAGGCTTTTAAAATAATTATTTATAAAATATATATTAAAAGTATTAATGTACTGAACTCTTACCTCCCTTTTCTTCAGTCCTTAAATTTGATGTGTGCTTTTACTTCTCCAGACCCACACCAGTAATCCGCTGGATCAAGGAGGGTGGGGAACTGCCAGCCAACAGAACATTTTTTGAAAACTTTAAGAAAACTCTCAAGATTATAGATGTTTCAGAAGCTGACTCTGGGAACTACAAATGTATAGCAAGAAATGCATTAGGTTCAGTTCATCATGTGATTTCAGTAACTGTGAAAGGTAATACTAAAATTATCCTTAATGGAATGTTATCAAGGGCCCAGAATGCAGGAGGGAAGCAGGCTTTCTAGGATGAAGTATAGCTAAAAGGATGAAGGATAATGGTTAAAAATCACCCTGAGGAAACATTCAACTGTCTGAATTCTAACACTGGAAGAGCTTTGCTATCTATAATAGCTTTTTCATCTTTTAATGTTACTTTGTAAAGCATCAGGCTAAACTGATATTTTACTGTAACAGTTGTAAGATAATGCCTTAGTTTGCACAAGTACTACATTTATTTTAGATCCTTTCATTATCTGTCATTTAGATTGCTTCTTTCTCTTGCTTCTATATCTTCCTCCTTATCCCTCTGTATCATTTCATGCCCATTTTCTCCATTTTTCTTCATTCATACAGCCCAGATTATTTCTTTCCTCTATTTTACTATTGTCTTACAGTCTTGTGATTTTCTTGCTTTTTCTCTTTTACTGTTATTTCTGTTCCTATCTTCTTCATGTTTTTTACCCAAGATGATGCCTTATAGTTCTAAAAACATTTACAACATGTTTGTCTAAATAGGAATTTTAAGTATGCTGTGAATACCATGAAACAAAAAACTGTAATGACAGTTAATTAGTCATTGAAATAATCAGCTGTATTGCTTAGTTTGCATGCTAAATAGTCACTTGTTTTGTTGTAGATCAGCATCTTTTTATGATCACATTTATTTTCCTTTCTAAGAACAGAAGTTTAATTTTCTGTTTGCATCTGTCCGTCAATCCCAAATCTGACAATTATTTGCAAGATGTGATAATATATGCTGTTTGTGGTTGTTGTATAAAAGGATGGAGAAACATGTGAATATCTTCTAGTAAGGATAGTGTTTCGCCCATTTTGATCTCTGTGTTTTTATGTCTCAGGTACACATCCAGCCCCACTGCAATCAGCTATTGAATTGAGTGAGACCAAGGATTTCTTAATTTTAAAATTTCACCCTTGATATGAAATCTCTTTTTTGCAAGCAAACCTAAATTAATTCCTAACAACCTAACTACTAAGAGCATGGACATCTCTGAAATTAATCAGAAGACCACTGCAGTGTCTGCAAATGCCATACACAGACAAATACTGTTTTCTTTAGGAAAGGCAAGTTAGATTCAAAGCAGGCAGCCCTAAATAAATCAAAGATCCTCTTGTTGTTTTTCTCAGAATTTGAATGCAGTGGGTGACCAGGGGGTCAGTTTGGCCAATGTATGATCTATCACTGAATTGAGTATCACACACACACACACATATATATATATATATATTTATATATATACACATATATATGTACATATACAGTAACAGTATAGCTTTAAGCCTATATCTACACATAGCTTGTTTGAATTATCTTCTGATTACTGTGCCTGAGCCTTATGGTTTTCTGTACATAATTTTGGAAAATAATTGCTGTCTTTCTTTTCTTAAACCCAGCTGCTCCGTACTGGATAACAGCACCCAGAAACTTGGTATTGTCTCCTGGAGAAGATGGAACATTGATCTGCAGAGCTAATGGCAACCCAAAGCCTAGTATAAGCTGGTTAGCAAATGGTGTTCCCATAGCAAGTAAGATTCTTAATTACCTTACAGGAGCATGAGTAACAAAATGTGAGGAATCTCAGGGTGGTTTTTTGTCAAATAGATGTGAAGAGCCTCTATTCGTGTTGTTTTTTTTCCTGACAGGTAATGCTAAATCATAAAAGATGTGATGAAATACTGTGGTTCATAAAAGCTGAACAACAAAATGTGCCTCTAATGCATTTGAGAGAACTGAAATGTGTAATCATGCTCCTGGTTCTTCTGTCTGGCGTTCTGCTGGTAGTATCTTTGTGGCTATTGGATGGTGCCTCTCACAGGGCCATTGCTGGGGTGTCACTGTTACCCCTGTGTTTCTGTGGCAGTCACATCTGCTGAGTCTCTGCTGCCTCGCTGCAACTCTAATGCTGCCTAGGAATCCTAAATGTGACATAAAAAGTGAACTTCCAACGTGTGCATATACAGAGCACTTGTAGGATTTTCAGGATTTGCAGTACACTGCAGGATTTGCAGCTTAGTGTATGCTTGAGCCTTCCAGGCTTCATCTCTAAGAAGCTGCAGCAGCAAAACTGTCTGAATGTGTCAGCAGCTACCTGGCAAACAGTTTGTGCCAAGTTGGTGTCAAAGAAAAGGAACCCCTGAGGCAGTGGAACAGCTGTTTCTGTGTGCAGGGTAAGAAAAGCAGCCCTGAACTGGTGATTGAGCCACTTAATTGCTGCAGTGATAGGACTGGCAATGCTGTATGACAGACACAAGGTAGCTGCTATATATAGGACAACTTGCCTTGGAAAGAACTTCCTGGAGGACACTGCAGTGTGTTGCCAGCTGGGTTTGCACAGAGCATACCCTGTACTCTAAAGTCACCCTTGGTTCTTCTACCTTTATCCTTCCCCTTTCTCAAAACAATAATAAAAAACCAGTCTCACCTGTTGGCTCATGAGAGATAATGTACTCTGAAATACTGGTCTGTTTAAAGTATGACAATGTCCCTTCTCTCACTTTCAAAAGATTAGGAGTTGTTCAAGTCTGTTGATGAAATAAAATTCACCAGGTTTGGGACATGGAGAAGGATTGTCTAGGGTCAGAATCTAGGTAATAGCAAGAAGTAAACAAGAACCCTCATTAGATATATTTGAACTATTTGGTATACAAAAGAGATTAAACATATTTGTAGGGGAAAAATGCAACTTTGGGAGGCAAAATATGGCTATATATAGAAACAAATAGAAATATTTAGCAAATAACCTGTTTAAGGAATCCTAATTAAATGGAAGGTGAGATCTACAGCCTGAGACTTAAATTGAGAAGTTTCCATTGGTAAATAAGTTATGTAAACTGACATTTATCACCTCATCAAACAATGGTAAGACAGGAAAACATTAGTGTAATTTTGTATATTATGTATTTAAAAATAAATACATCATAATGATTTGTTGTCATCAGAGTTTGGTGCCTGTGTTTCACTTTCCATTCTGGGTTTTTGGTGGTCTCATCTTCCTTTGTTGTTTTCTGTGTACTCACCATTCACTTTTTGTTTATTTGTTTAGAGGGGATTTTTATCCTGCAGTTCTTGTAGATTAACTATTATTTCAGGCCTCCTGACTAGTAAGATCTTTTTCATTTGGCTATGAGTCAGCTTTGCGTTGCTCTTCTTCCTTATCAAAGCTGGTAGGATCAGCTGTTCAAACAACCGACAAGTACATTTTCCAGAAAAGCAGTGATGGGTTCTGCTTTCTTTCACAGTAACAGTAAGACATTAAGAAAGACTTTCCAGAAGCAGCTGCAGGATGCCATGAGATTTCCTAAATACAAGGAAGCATATATTGGACTGGCCTTGAGGAATTGGTACACAAAGTCTTGTTGAGGGTATTCAGTAAAAATTAAAAAACTTTAATTAAATTACCCTCTCAAACTCAGTAGGGGAAAAAAAAGAACACAGGAAATAAGTAAAGCTCAGCCTTATATTAAAGGTCACTTTCACTGCTGAGAAAAGCTGAAGTCTTATCCACATTAAATATTTAATTGCAAGCTCATTGGACGCTCTAGTACACTGCATCTCTCAGGGCGTCTATGAGAGGCATCATGATCACAGAAAGTGCAGTTCTTAAAATTCTTGTGATTTTTTATTATTCTGAGTTATCAAAAGCTGTTCTGGAAATTACCAAGTACAGTGTGCCTTTTTGTTCACTTGTTACTAAATTATAAAATTGAGCCCCTCATCTTCCAACTGAATGATTAGGAAATCACTGTAAAAAGAAACTAAAGCAGCTGTTTCTGCTTCAGGGCAGTGCTGAGAGAGCTACACCCATGGCAGGATTTCAAAGAAAAAGAGCTACATTTGAATTTCAAAGCCCTGCTGTCATCATATATCCCACAATGTGCCTCTTGTGGCCTAGTAATCTGTTTGCAATACTTTAATTTTCTGTTGGAAAGCACAACTGGGAGATACTTAATTCTTCCAGTTTTGTTTTTCCATAATAGAGTCAGACAAGGAAGGAGGAATGTTGAAGAAAGAACCATTCGTCCGTATCTCAGTCAAAGGCTGAGGTTTAAATATCTATAGAGAAAAGGCAAAAAAAAAATTGGATAAAAATGTAGTGTGTGTTAGCAACTGTAAAATAAAATTGCAATGGTGTGAATTTTGTTCAATATTCCAATAATCTGAGTAAAAAAAATATTTTTTATGTCAGATTCTAGGTTTCCCTGAAATATTTCAATTAGTTTTCTTCAACAGTCATGCTGAAAACCAGCATTTTTAAAAAAAAACCCCTGCTTTAGATGTGTTGGAATGATAAGGACCTATCCTAACCTCCTAATGTTTACTCACAGGAGTATGTTGAACTTATGTGCCCAGTCCTGGTAAGATCAATTAGAATTACTTTGGCAAGTAGCTGTTGAAAGTTCAGGCCATGACTCTGTGTTGCCTTGTGCTTCAATTAACACTCAAGATCTGCATTATTTATATCACTGCATAAGCCATTGTGTCTTACTGCTTAGATATTCAGCATGGTTTTACAAAAGGGAAGCCGTGCATAAAGTGTCTCAACTTCTAAGAAGGTAACAACCCAGACTAATTGGGAAGGGGAAACTCTTTCATAATTGGACTTTAGAAAGGCATTGCAAATACTGTACAAAAGACTGGGTTTTTTTGGTCCAGTGGTTTATAGTTCATGGTAAGCTATTAAATATTAGATACAGACACTTAGATTTATACAAAGTAGTGCAAAGGTGCTGTTTATCTCCTTTCAACACATTGTTCTCTTCTTATATTACATTCCACGTTGAATCCTTAGGTTTGAGTTAGTCTCCATTAGTACTCACACTGAATTTAAGGGAGGAATATTAGCCCTTAGATTTCTTTCATGAAAGGCCTTGATAATCCCTGGCTGAGAGATTCATCATCCATCATTTTCTCTGAGAGTAAAAACCAGAAGCTGTTCACTGCAGCCATGGGAGCGTGGGGAGAAATTTGCTGACCCTAATGCCCCCAGTATTTCAGTCTTGGAGAGAAGACTCCATGGGAAGATGTTTATCCACTGCTTCTGCTGTTTTTGTGTTGGAACTTTGCATCTGGCCCAGGAACTTCAGCAGATGAAAAACCTTTGATTATCAGGTTTTTTTCAATTCTGCACAAAATAATCAAGGGTGGTAATAGTTAGTGCAGGTAATGCTGTGCCTTTGGAGACAGCAGAACTGTCAGAATCAGAAACTCAGCAATAAAAGGATTTCAGTGATCACAGGAGAATAACATGCCGAGCAGCAAGCCAGATTGGTAAGAAAAGGAAAATTATATTCTTTACCGTTTCAGTTATCCATGTTTTTTTATCCAGATTTTTTCCCTTCCAGTTTTAAGTGTAACAGTATGTTTGAACTACTTCTGTTCAGAGAGAACATGTCATTCTGTCTTTTTTTTCAAGAAAAAAAAAAAGTAATAATGGTGCCATTGTGGTTATTTGAGCATACTAGCAAAAGTAATTGCTTAGGCTGTCAAAAGTTTATGAAACAGATGGAAGTATGCAATCAAATGAACAGAAGTTATTCACAGTGCTGATCTCTAACTACAAGAAGAATATTTGATGGAGGCCTTGCCTTCTCTGTTTAGGAATATGCTGAACATGGCTAGAGTCAAGAAGCTGTATCATTGCACAATGTGATGAAAAAATCACGTGAAACCAGGTCTTTGTTCAGAAAGGACCAAAACACATTGATAAGCTGAGATTCCATGTTATTGGGAGCAGATGTTGGCTGTTAGATGGCACATGTTTACCTGTCTTGTTACAGCAGCAGAACTCCTATAGCAAATCCTTATAATTCATTATCCTATTTGTACAAGCTCATTTTTACTATTATATAGGTTTTTGCTATTTTGCCTATCAGTGCCAAATTCAGATTTGTCTAATGTGTCAAAAGCATTTTCTCCTTCCCATGCCACTATCGTGTAACGTGACCAGAATATTCATACATACAAACAAGCAGTGCTTGACTGGCCCTGCCATCACTCCTTTTCCCCAGAAAAGGATTTTAAAAGATTTTTTTTTAAGTGGTAGACTGGTATATGGAATGGGCTGAAGTACTGCATGCTATTTTTCCTCAGGTTTTACTAGCAAGACTGAGCTTCAGGAATCCTAGGTCCTTAAGACCAGGGGAAAAGACTAGAATGAGATGTACCCTTGGTGGAAAAGGATTAGGTCAGTAGCAAACTGAACATACCTAAGTGTGTTCAGGAGCCCCTGACGGGATGCAGCCACAAGTGCTGACTGAGCTGGCACTTGTCATTGCAAGAATGTCTCAATCTTTGCTTGATCATGGTAACTGGGAAAAGTGCCTAAAGATGGAGAGAAAGCAAATGCTACTCCTGTCTTCAACGAGCCAGAAGGAGAGACCAGGGAACTACAATCACCTTTATCCCTGTGAGGATGATGGAGCCGCTAATTCTGCAAACCATTTCAAGGCACATTAAGAACAAGAAAACTTTCAGGAGCAGTTTTCATGGCTTCACCAAGGGGTGACCAACTTCATACATTTCTATGATCAAATGAGTGGCCTGATAGATGAGGGCAAGAGTGTGGATAATGCCTGGACTGCAGTGAGGCCTTTGACCCTGTCTCCCATTAGATCCTCATGGACAAGCTGTTGGTGTAGGGGCTGGATAAACAGCAGACAGGTGGATAGAAAAATGGTTGAATGGCCAAGCCCAGAGAGGGTGATCAGTGGAACAAATTCCTGTACCTGGGGAGGAGTAGCCTTAGTGCCAGTACCTGCTGGGAGCCATCCAGATGGATAGTGCCTTAGCAGAACAGGACTTGAGCATCCTGGTGGATGCCAAGTTGACCATGAGCCAGCAATGTCAGAGGCTAGCATTATCCTGGGCTACATGAGACAAAAGTGTAGCCAGCAGGTAGAGGAAAGTGATCCTTCCCCCATCTGGACACAGTTCTGGATAACTGGATCCGAGTGGCCCTGCTTGAGCAGGGGGTTGGACCAGATGACCTCCAAAAGTCCCTTCCAAGCTCAGTGTTTCTGTGTCTGTGAGTGCAGCAGCGCATGCTTCAGACCATGAAGGAAGCTGTATTCACCAGACAGTTAAATAGATGTCTGTCTTAAGCTTTTGAATCAGTGCCCTTCAGCATCCAATTGGCTAGACCAATTAACAGAAAGCACCGGCTAACCTGACACTTCTGCCTTCTTTTCTCTTGGGACCCCAGCTTGAAGCCCTTTCCAGAGAACAGACACCTCCTTTCCTTCAGATAGCTGTAAGGGGTTATCTCCTTTTTTCCTTCAGTACAGCAGTGGGAAGGGAAGATTCTGCCCCTCTTTTTCTATAGTAATGTAGTGGTTAGATCATTCTTTTCAATGCAGTTCCTTCAGCCATAGAAGATTGAATTAATGGCTTCCATCTCTTAGGAGGGGCCTGCCATCATCCTGTGAGGGATTATGGTGTGTGAGGGGGGCAGTCTGTGCACCCATTAATGACCCACCTGGGTGCAGAAAGGGCTGCAGGCTTCAGAGGGAGAGGGCAGAGGGAAGCCCAGAGCCCAGGGCTGGAACAGCCATGCTTGGAGCGGCTGTGGGCAGTTCTCCTTGCTCGTGGGAGAGCAGTTGTGCCTGTCTTCTGCTGAGCTGTGATTTGTATGCAGAAACAGACTGCTTCCCGCAGCTGACTGCCCTGCCTGCTGCGCTGCTCACCTGCTCCGGCTATTTTCAGCCCATGAATCTTTTAATGAAAATGGCATTTACGTAGAAAAGGAGGCAATGTGAAACATGGAACACAATAGGAAGTAAAGCAAAAGAGAGAAAAATATGTGCCAGCAATCCAGAAGTCCGGAGAATAAGTATTTAAAATCTCAGTAGTACCTTTTTCTTCCTTCCCAAAATTTTTGAATTTGTGATGTTGATTTGAACTCAGAGTGATGGAAGATGAGAAAAAACAGGAATGGAAATCTGTTCTTGAGGCAGCTGTTTGGAAATTAAGGTATTTACATGAAAAATGGCCTTAAATTTTATCCAAGCTGGAAATACCCTTAAGAAGCAGAAGCACAGAACTGTGGTCCCCTTCATCTGGTTTCTTTTGTAGAGAATTCAGTAATACATACTTTAATAAAATGCAGGAGAAATGTCTCCATTTTCTTTACAGATGGGAACTAAGGCATTGTCTGAATCAAAAGGTTCCTGTCACAGAAAATGGATGTTAATTTACTTGATTGATCTTTATTTATGAATTCAAATAAGAATTTCCTTGTATGAGAATGTATTCCACAAATATTCTTTTTCAAGCTTCAATAAGGGTGTCAATTTTGATGATGCATCCAAACTACGATGCATTTATGTCTGCGATGCATTTATAAATGCATCTATTTTTCATGTTAGTAGATCAGTAATTTTACCATTAATTTTCATTATTAATAATGCTTGTGCTTTTTAATACAACAATAATATATCTGGTCTTATTTAATATGTCCATAAAATATTAAGCTATAGATTGTGCATTTTTATGCAGTGTGGTGTTACAAGCTGGTTTTTTTTCATTCTTCTTTAATGCCATTCAGTTGTATCAGAACTGACAGCTATTACTCTTCTTCAGTATTTTCTTCCAATTTTATTTTCAGTTATGTCTTGGGTGCTTCTGAGGTGCAGAAGCTGTTTGACAGCTCAGGCCACTCCAGAGCAGTTGAGGAAATGGCATTGTATAATTCTTACATAAGGGAAAGAGTGCCACCTACTGAAGTACTAACTCTGCTCTTGATTGTTTCTTGACTTGGTTAGAAAGAATGCTTGTTCTTTACTCAGAGATAATTTTCAACTGAGTATGGCCAATTTTATATTTGGAAAATTATTTATGGTATATCAACTTGAAACTTTAAAGACACAGAGGACTATGTCATTATATCAGCATTTTCTTTTGACATTCAGAAATATTTCTGTAATTTTCTAGATATTGACTGTATTTACCCGAATCTCATAATATTGGTATTTTTCCTCTGTATTCTGTGCAAAATACAATCTCAGCTTCACTTCGTTAGAAAACAAACAAAAAAACCTCTCAAAAAATGGAAATTCTACTATCCTGAGTTAGTACCTGTAGAATGAGAGGAACTTTTAAAACTGTATTAAAATTCACATTTTTGCTAGTGATCAATCACCCGGGGTGGGGGGGAAAATTTAAAGGGTATATTGATTTTTCACATTCTTCCTTCTTTTCAGAAGTATGAAACTCACAATCCAATAGCAGTTTAGGGAAAGCAATAACTCTTTTTCTTTACACCAACAGTTGCTCCAGAAGATCCTAGCAGGAAGGTGGATGGTGACACCATTATTTTCTCACATGTGCAAGAAAGGTCAAGTGCTGTGTATCAGTGCAATGCTTCTAATGAATATGGATACTTGCTAGCAAATGCGTTTGTGAATGTTCTGGGTAAGAAAAAGACTTCATATTTTTCTGTTTTCTTGGGTATTCTGTTGTCTTCTGCTAACACACAGACTCTCTGCTCAAACCTTGCTTGAGGTCTTCATTGGGAATTGATTTATTTCCTGGCCCCTGTAAAGAGCAAGGGTATACATAGCGTTTTTTTTAGGGTATTTCTGAATTTCACTTTCACTGTTCCAAAGTGAGAAGGATAGATGTGAAAGCTGGGAAAATTTGGAAGAAATTTTATCTCTCTTTTGTTTGTTTTTTTTGTTGTTTCTGTAAGTCAGTCAAACAGAAGCCCGACAAAGAAGGCAGGAATTAGTGTTGCTTAAGTTAGTACATTTCAATACAGTTTCATTGAGTCTGGATGTTTTGGATTAGTGGAATGGATGATCTCCAAGTTACTGCTGCAAGGGGACATGATTATGCATTTGTCTCTAAGGCTTCCCTGGCATGTGTTTCTGATTACATTATGTTGTGGCCCCTCTAATTCTTTTCACTGAATTTAAAAAAGCTAGTAGCAAAATCCTAGGCAGAATGGCCTCTAGTGACTCTCTTGCAGGAACTGGCAGGATGTGTTGATTGACACTGTTGTTTAGAAGAAAGAAAACGTAGGTGTTACACCAAAAATGCATCCTAGCTTCTTTCTGCCTGCAGGTGTATTTGGAATTAGATAGTTCAGTCTGCACCCAGGAGATTATCTTCTTGAAGTATATACTGATTTAAATTTTCCAATTGAAATCATAGCCTTTGGTGCCCATCACTATTGCTTGTAAATAGGCACGAAACAGTTGTTTTTCACAAGATAATTTCCCTGCATTAACTTTTCCTCAGGCTAGTACCAGTAGAATGTATTTGAGCCCAGACTGAGACCCAAAATCATCCCAGGGAAAAATGTTTCTATGTAATTCTTTAGGCTATTCTTGATGTCTTTGTATTTTGTATTTGTATTTATACTTTTTATGTATTTGCTATTTGTAACTTTGTAACTACATGCAGATCTCTTTGTCTTTTCAGCCGAGCCACCAAGAATTCTAACTCCTGCTAATAAACTGTATCAAGTCATTGCAGACAGCCCTGCATTGCTGGACTGTGCTTATTTTGGGTCACCTAAGCCTGAAATTGAATGGTAAGTTCCAGCTGTGCTTATGGCACAGAAGATGAGCCACTTACATCTGTGGAAACAAACACTTGAAGCTTTAAAACTCTTCTAAATATATTTGCAATTTCAAAATAAGGTTTTTTAAATATATGTTGTTTACAGTTTGCTAATACAATATTGCATGTACTTAATGAACCTGCAGTAAAGTTACACCACAGAGTCAAGTTTAAACTTCTTTGAGTGCTTCTGTCTCTGTTTTCTAATGTGGCAGTCCTAAGTTTGTATTTTATTGACAGTAAAACCATTCAGAATTTAACTGTGATGCTGGCTAATGATATTACTCCTTGTACAAAGGTTCAAGGGAGTGAAAGGTAGCATCTTGCGTGGAAATGAGTACGTTTTCCATGATAATGGAACCTTGGAAATTCCAGTGGCTCAGAAGAATAATGCTGGTACATACACATGTGTAGCAAGGAATAAATTAGGAAAGATACAAAATGAGGTGCAGTTGGAAATTAAAGGTGAGAGATTAGTCATTCTTTGATCATTGATTTTCAGAATTTTACAGAACTTCAGACTTTCTCGATATCTAATTTTAATTTTAAATTTCAGATCCAACAATGATCATTAAACAGCCAGAATACAAAGTGATTCAGAGATATGGCCAGGTTTCTTTTGAGTGTATAATAAAACATGATTCTACCTTACTACCAACAGTTACATGGTTGAAGGACAATGATGAACTGCCAGATGATGAAAGGTAAGGACCACACAGTTTTCCTTTGGTTTTAATTTTCTAGGTCCTTTTGTCTGCTCATTTTCCTGATCTTTGAAAAGAGCATATTGACCTATTGACATATTTTCCAAAGACTGATAAACATCATGGCTATCCAATATTTGGTGACTAAAGGACCTACCTAGTGTGATGAAAATATCAAGATAGAATTAAAAATAAAATGAGATGTAAACATTCATACAAACTCTGCACACTGACCTTTTAGATTAAGTGTAAGGTAAAGATAATTGACTTAAGAAGCTAAACAGATAGCATAAAACTCTTTTGCTCTGGATCACAAATATTTAAAATTTGTTTGAATATATTTGAAAATAAAAGCAAATTGGAATAAAAATCACTGTGGGAAGATGGTCAAGAGCAATGAAGAAAAAAAAAAAGATGGTGCTGTCCCATAGCTTAACTTGGGTAAATATAGCTGCTTAGATATGGACAAGTATATGGGATTTGATAATGTTTTATGCACGTTTCTTATAATAGTGCCAGTTATTGAAAAATGAGTGGCTGAATTTATTGTATTTACAGGTTTCTAGTTGGTAAAGACAACTTGACCATTATGAATGTAACTGATAAAGATGATGGAACATACACTTGCATAGTTAATACTACTCTGGACAGTGTTTCAGCAAGTGCTGTGCTTACTGTTGTTGGTAAGAATGCTCTCAAACTTCTACTGTTAAGTATGAAAACAGCATTAAATTTAAAGTGAAAAGCACAAATAGAGTTTTGGTTTTTAGGACAGGATAACAGAAATGCCACCTAAGTGTCAATGTGTTTCAGTTTTTAAAAAATGCAGTTTCACCTTACAGTTTGCATTTGAATCAGCTGCTTACAAGATGACTGAGTAGCTATGGGGCAGATTCCTGCTGTAGAGCTTTTTATTTTTACCATATCTGAGCTACTACAGGAAATGAAATTTTGCAGAGTATTTGAACATAACCATGGTAGAGTCACAGAATGGCCAAGGTTGGAAGGTACCTTTTAGGTCATTTAGTTCTAACCCCCCTGCCTTGGGCAGGGACTTCTTCTACACAGCCTGTCTGGGCAACCTGTTCCTGTGCCTCACCATAAAAAATATCTTCCTAATTACGTAACATAAACCCACTCTGCATAAACCCACTCTGAAGCCATTCCCCCTTGTCTTACCACAACATGCCCTTGTGAAAAGTCCCTCTCCAGCTCTCTGGGAGCCTGTGTAGGTGCTGGGGCTGCTCTGAGGTGTCCTCAGAGCCTTCTCTTCTTTGGGCTGAACAGCCCCAACTCTCTCAGCCTGTCTTCAGAGGAGAGGTGCTCCAGCTCTGTGGTCACCTTGGTGGCTCTCCTCTGGACTCCTTCCAACAGCAACATGTCTTTGTGGTGTTGGGAGAGTGTTATCTCAGAAATCTCTTCAACAACTAAATTATGCTTCGTAAAGACTGAGCAGACTTGGCTGTATGACTTCTCGTGGATTGTATTTTTAGCTTAGTTCTCTGTTAAGTTTTTATGACTGCAGATTCTTGTCAAATATATTACTTTTCTCCAATTTTTAAGAAAGTTTTAAGAAGATTTCCTGAATGATTCTTACATGAGTTCAGTCTGAGACTCAGAGCAAGTATGTTTGTGTTTTAAAATTCTGCTGTGGTCTTAAGCCTATCCAGGAATGACCTAAGCCAAAAAGCTAGCACTCATTTAGGAATTTTTATAAGATTGCTTACTTTATTTATTTTCTTGATCTGTCCTTATTTTAAAAATTAATAAAGTATTCAAGAATGCTTTTTTAGCTCTTCAGTGAAAAATTATAATGTGTTTTTTTAAATTAACTGTTTAATCTAAATAAGTTAACTTTTCTTTGTCTCTAATAACTATATTCTTTAACTACCTACAGTATTCTGTTTCTTTGGCTACTAACTGATTAAATCCTTTATATTAATGTTCTTTTCAGCTGCTCCCCCAACACCAGCTATCATTTACGGTAAACTAAAACAAAGTTCTCTTTCTACATCATCAGGCAGATATATTGCTCATTTGCCTGTTGCAATTTCTTTTTGCCTTTTTTTTTCCCCTTCTGTGTGTGTCTGTGTCTGTGTGGTTTCATCCCATTTTACCCACTACTCCATTACTGTAGCACAGAACTTTGGAATGTTGCAGTGCAGGCTGCTTTATATTTAGGGAATAAGTGATTTTCAGAGATAATTTTAATTAAGATGGGGTATAGGATGGCCATGTTTTTCTCATAGACCACACTGTAATACAAGTTAACTATATAGTAAATGAAATATCTAAAATGTAAATCCAATTCTTTGGTGAAAGGTTATTCACTATTAAAGACTTTGCACTAACCAAATTATGTTCTATGTTAATGTTGGTTTTGCAGCCTTGTATTCCTGCTCTATTTTATTTCATAATTTATCTTAATTTTACTCCACTCATAAGATGAATATGCTCATATTGAACAGTTTGACTTATAATTGATGAAATCACGAAAATTTTAAAATTTAAGTTAAAATTAAAAAAAATCTGTTAGTCAGGCATAGTCTTATATATGATTGTATAGAGCCCTAAATAGTAGTATGTTTTCTGAATTTGGGGGTTCAAGTGCAATATTATAAGCTAAAGCACTTTTAAATGTGAGGAGTTTAAGCAATTTTATGTAAATCTATGAATGAAAATGCTTATGTATTCTTACATGAACCTACTTATTAGTTGTGATTTTTGTGTAACAAATCATATAATAAATTACCTTCATGAATTTGGAACAGATAATTACATCTCTATGTATTATAAGGATTTATAATAACAACTTGCAGGGTATGTCTGCGTCTTTTTAAAAGAACAACAGAAAATAATTTAGTAACTTGCAATTAGTTTCTGTTTGAAGTATACTTGTTTTGAATTCACATAAAAATATTTGTAATGGTTCTAGAAAAGCTTCTTTGATATGAATGTTTCTTTATTTTCCATGCTGTATGAGGTATGTCTGTTGCAATAGATAACCACTCATAATCATTCAAAGATAAACTGAAGAGGCATTTCATAATTCCTTGCATCTCGTCACATTTTTATATCACAGTGCACTCAGACATAGTTAAAAATAAATATCAATTCTTGTCAAGGAATAGAAGTTTCCAGGTTACATCAGTTCTCCATTTTTGTCTGTTTTGTAATAATTGCATGCTATTAGTCTTTAAGTCACGCTTACATAAGTGAGTAGAGCTGCTCTGCTGTATTTGTGGAATTCTTTAACTGGAATGTAAGGATTTTTTTCAAATATTAAGTACATATTCTGGTGTGGTTACTTACTTTGTGCTCATTTGATTTACAGCTCGGCCAAATCCACCCTTTGACTTGGAGTTGACAGGTCAGCTAGAAAGAAGCATTGATCTCTCATGGTTACCAGGGGATGAAAACAACAGTCCCATTACAAGTATGTTTGTTGGCATCTACTACACTACATTGAAGGTTTTGTTCTAATTGTTCCCATATTACAAAAAATTTCTCAAATAAATGTTGTGCACAGCATGGGGAAACAGAAATTAGTTCTCTACAGCCATCATTTATTTACATAACATTCCCTTAATAACTACTGTACAGCCTAGCAGGAAAACCAGAAGAGCTGGGCTTTTTTATTCAAAATCTTGTGCTAGATAATATAGAAGTTATATATATTGATATGATGTCTGTCTGACAAGGTCAAATTTTATGAATATGTAGAAAGCAGTCTAGTTCATTGCTTGTATGCTTCTGAAGGAGAGAGCTACTAACATCTTGCATTAATTCTTTTGTAATTCTATGAATTTGAAATAGCATCAGTCCCACCATTGTCAGTGATTATCCATCTCTACTGGTGCAGAAGCTTATTCTTCATGAGAACATAAGATAGTTTTTCTGGTGTTTTTTCTAGTCCAGACAGTTAAAAGAATAAACCACATCCATAAAACTAAACAAATAAATATCTATACAATTTTGAGGCAGTAAATTTATCTTAAATGCTATTATTCTTCCCAGTAAAACATAATGAAAACTCTTGTTTATATTGAGCAGAGAGGATGGGGGAAGGGTGTGGAATTTAGGAGCAAGGAACAAAGATATTAATGGTTTTTTTCCAAAAGATCATGGGATGAAAAAGACTTTTTGGCATTAATTTTTCCCTATGAGCAACTTAATTCAATTATTTCATTATTTATGCGGTGTATTTTCAGATAATAACTGCCACAAGTTATTGCTAAGACCAGTGTAGATCTTATGTTTGGAATTAATTAGTTAGACTGACTGGGTGTTGCTCTCCAGAGTTTGATGGTGAGTTGGTATCAGCACTGAAAACAAACCATAAGGATCAGGCATCTGGAAAGGAAAATTTGTAAAAGACAGTGTTTCACAAGTTTCTGAACACATCAAAGATTTTGACTACATTTTAATGAAACACTAAGTGATTTTTCTGAAATTTTACGGTCTCAGGCATCTCAAATGTATATCAACTAGTAATATACCTTAAAATATAATATCTAGAAGATCAATGGAAATAGTTGAATATTGGTTTATTCATGCCAGAAGTGTTGTCTTTCTGCAGGAATGAGATCACACTATTGCAAAAGAGTTAATACTAGGCAGTGTTGTCTCTTGTAAGTTTTTCTTGAGTGATCTACTGCATGCACTCTCATATTGAAAACTGAACTCTTCTAACTAAATAATGCTGGGTTTAGTTATAATACAATTTATATTGCTGCATGGTCTTCTTAGATGCTGCAAAATAAGACATTTGCTTCCTGAGTAAACCTATTTCTTTTGCTGCTGCTATCACTTCAAAGTGCAGTTTAAGACTCAGGGATTGCACTTCATTAGGAGTGATCTGTTTGCACAGTATGACTGGCATGCTAGAATCTCTCTGAAAGCTCAGATAGTTTTTTTTTTTCCTTTGAAGTTTCCTATAAATTATTCTACTAGAGTTGCAGGCAGAAGGCTAGTGGCCAGGGAAGCAAAAAGCAGTAATGAAAACCTTTTTGGCATGTAATATTCTCACCTTTTCAGCAAGGCTTTATCCAGGAGGCATCCCATCCCAAGACCTGTATCACTGAGCACACAAATGCAGCGGTAGCTCAGACAGTAATTTGGGGTCAATTCTCCCTCTTTCTCTTACTGCTTAGGTCAGAATGAAATCTGCCTGCCAGAAGGCTATGATTAGTACTACTTTCCTCTTTTACATCTTGCTCCTCAAATTGTTGTGCATTTTTCTATGCGGTGCTGTAAATATTCTTCTAAAAGAAATTTAGAAGAATTTTTTTAGTAGTCTGAACAGGATCAATCTTAAGTCATATTCTGTCTCCACCCACACATGAGATAGAGGAAATTCTTGTTACACAACACACAAATATTTTATGCTCCAGGTAAATATTTGATGCTCCAGGTTCTGTGGAATGTACTCAGATTGTACATTCTTTTCCCATTTTTTTATTGTGTCCTAAAAATTCCTCCTAAGTCTTTCCTCCTAAGAATTCATATCTCATATCTTACAGCAAGGTTTTTTGGCTGTTTCACATCTGCAAAAATATGTCCTTTTGTCTTTCATAATGAATATGATTTTCTTTGTGGAATTCTACAAAATTATTTATCCCTGAAGTTATATGCTTTGTAAGGTCTTAACAGTAATCATCATAATGTTCACACAGAGTACTCTCAAGAAATTTAGTTTCTGAACATACATTCTCTGGTTTAATTTGAAGATAATGAAAAGTGCTCTCAAAAACCTTTCTCAAGTATAGGTTCTTGACTTTAAATAGATTTTCATTATTCCAGTTTCATTGGGGAAAATGGAATATTCAGGGAGTTTTAAATTTGTACAGATATTGCCTGCTGTCTGCTTGATACAACTAAGAACAAGGCATTTGGCAGTCAAATTCCACTTCCTTACTGTGATAGTTCAAGGGCTCCCATTAAATTAAAATCCGGTACCTGACAGAGAGCTCTTGTAATAATGTGTTGCCTGAGGGATAGCTGCATTAATGACAGTAGCAAAGGATAAAATTAAGAGTTTATTTTTTAATTTTTTATGTTTCACCTTTATTTCTACTTTTGATGTCCACATTATAGATTTGTTTTAGGTTTATGTATTTACATGTCAAGTTCCATGATTTTTGAAAGCCCTGGTTGGAGCAATCCCTCCTGGCTAGCTCATTCAGAAGCGCCTGTACTTGTCTGGGGGGCTGTTTGGAGTTGTGAAGTGAGGTTGGATGTGCTTGCTGCTTGCAGGCTTTGTGATCGAGTTCGAGGACGCGCTGCACGAGCCGGGCGTGTGGCGCTACCAGACGGAGGTGCCTGGCTCCCAGACCACGGCGCAGCTCAAGCTGTCTCCCTACGTCAACTACTCCTTCCGCGTGATCGCCGTCAACAGGATTGGCAGGAGCCAGCCCAGTGAGCCGTCTGAGCAGTACCTGACAAAATCTGCAAGTAAATAATTATTCCCACCTCCCCGTGATTGATTCCTGCTATGAATAGCATTGAGTTTGCTTGGAATCACGCTGCAGCCATTCTTGTTCACGTGTTAATATTTTATTTTTAGGCCCTGATGAAAATCCTGCTAATGTACAGGGGATAGGCTCAGAACCTGATAATTTGGTAATAACATGGGAGGTAAGATGGGTCTTTCTTCAAGATTTCATTTGTTTTCAGGTTTGTGAGTAGCTTTTTTTTTTTTTTTTTTAGAACCAATGTTGAGAAAAGAGAATACCCAATTACCTGCTTAATATATTCTTGAAAAAGGATTAAATTCATACATTCCCCATCATAATTTTCATGAAAAAACTAATTTTTTTTAAAATATGAAAATCAGTTACTGATTGAAACTGATTCTGAAAAATCAGAAATGGATTTTTTCTTTTTTAATATGAAAATAAGTTAAAGGTGGAGGGCATATTTCCCTGCGTAATTTCTCAAGATAAGCCAATAATTAGGTAATACAGGATGTTTTGCTGCCAGTTTAGGAAAACTTCAAAATATAAATGGAAGTTTATGTCAAGAAGAGTCTAACTTTTAGAGTGAATACTAATGTGAATGTTACTTCTACTGTCACCTATTATGATAAACTAATCATTGTGCACTTTCCCACTAGAAAGGTTTGGTTGAAGTTTTTTCCATCATGCCCTTACCATCATGACAGGAGCTCAAGGAGAGCCATGTGTAATCAATTTGCCCTCTCAGGCAAGAAATATTTATATCCTCTTTACAAGGACATGGTGCAAGTCTGGTTTTCTCTCTTCCACTTCTTAGTAAATATTTGAAAACAAAATTTATATTCAGAAGTCACAATGTGCTATTTGTGTAAGAATTACACCACATCACCAACATCACTCAATGTGCTTTTTACCAAGAAGTGAAAACTGAAAAAAAAATGGTCAATTGAAGTGACCTCCTGTAAAAACTGAATTGCAAAACTTTCAGCAGTGCTTCTCTGTTGCAGAATACAGATGTAAATTTTCAGTGACATTCTATAAAAGAAACAATGTACTTCTTTCTAATTTGTAATTTTTCAGATGCTTCAAAATATTTTTAAAAATATTTCTTTTCATTTCAGCCTTTAAAAGGTTTTCAGTCTAATGGACCAGGGCTTCAGTACAAAGTCAGCTGGCGCCAGAAAGATGTTGACGATGAATGGACATCTGTTATAGTTGCAAATGTATCTAAATATATTGTGTCTGGTACACCAACTTTTGTTCCATATGAAGTAAAAGTGCAAGCTTTAAATGACTTGGGGTATGCACCAGAGCCATCAGAGGTGATTGGACATTCAGGGGAAGACTGTAAGTTTTGTAGTTTGACTCAGTTATCCTAATTAAAAGGAGATAAATGTGTAGCCTGAATGGTTATTTAAAATACTGAAATATTGATATGGGGAATATAGTAGTTATTTTTTTAATTGAAAGGAAGCAATTCAGAGATAGTAAAGGCTTCATGCTACTTTGTAGTATCAATACTGAAAACATAGGAACATTTTAACCTGTTCCATGAGTACAATGCAAAGACTCATTCTAAAAAACTGTTTGTGTGGTTTCTAATTCTAACTAGGTGCTTGTTGCATCCTTTCCACACAGTGCCAATGGTTGCTCCAGGCAATGTGCAGGTTCATGTTATTAACAGCACATTGGCAAAGGTGCATTGGGACCCAGTTCCACTAAAAAGTGTCCGAGGACACCTTCAAGGGTACAAAGTAAGTACGGTCATTCTCTTCCTTATTTGTTAAAATAGATGGTCTCCCTGTTTGAGATTGTATCCAGATTGAAGTAACTGACACGTGAGGGGACTCGTGCTTTTCCCAAGTTCTGCTCACAAGAGCAAGCCTTGATAAAATTCATACAGACTTCAGCAATGTTCCAGCCTTGTAGCACTAGGTTCCTGTGACATTGTCCTTGAAGAAAAGTGGCATGTGTTTGCAATCAAGCTTGCACATGTTAACCAGGCTAAGAAATGGTAAGAAATCAGTTTTACAGATCTTTTTCCAAAGTAATTTAGAGGATGTGAAGAACTAGTTTTGGTAGGACTCTCTTCTAGGTGTAATGCTAAGGTTACTGATTTTCTGCTTCAATATGATCAATCATATCTTTAATTCAGAGTAACTGGGCACTTAGTAGCTTATGCTGGGTTCTGTGTCTTTTTGGAGGCCAGGAAAAAGCTCAGTGTAAAAGCTCAACTTAAGGGCAAATGAAATGGAAGAAGATTTGGAGTTCCCATATAATGGAAGGAAGAATATTCTAAGGTAGTGTGCTGCCTTTGGTCATAACTGAAAATGCTGTGCTGGAGAAAAAAAATGCATTTTAATAGAGAAGGGGAGACAGAATGACTTCAGGATTTCAAACTGATGTCCCTGGAGGATAGGGAGAAGTTGCTTCAGTGAGGATATACTGACATCCTATGTAGCAATAGAAGAAAATCAAAGTAATTCCTTCTTTGCTCCTCTGTAAGTATTCTCATAAGGGTGTTCTAACAAGACAGATTACTTAGCCCGAACTAGATTAAGACTAATTTGAACTACTTCTTTTTAAGTGAAAGGAGGTAAAAGAAATATTTGAAAAATTAAACCAGTAAAGAGTATTTGGAGGAGAATAAATGCACACCATACTTATAAAATGGAGCAGTTAAAAACGTTGAAACTGAACTTCAGTTGGTTACCACATGAATGTGAGCTCCTGGTATGTGGGTATCTCTTTCCTGGCAGAAAATACCACCATCCAGGTAGACTTAGACTGTCTGACATGTAAGTTCTGTATGTCATAGTATGCATGTTTGTAGCTTGTGTGCTACTTTGCCACACTAACACAATTAACTCAGCTGAGAAACAGGACTTCACTAGTCTCTTAAATGTTTATCTGTTAGATGACAGCTTTACATCGACCTGGTATTTCATGCAGAAATGGGCAAGCAAAAGAAAATGTCTGTTATGTGAGGATTAAAGAGTTGGAATCTAGTGAAATTAGTGGTAGTTATTAATCAAGTTACAGCAACACTAAAGCTCTTAATCCAAATCACAAAATTTCTATTAAAGATTGATAATGATCCCAAAACCAAAATCCATAGACACACTTTTGCCTGTAAATCAGGTGTTAAGTTCAACAGTATGGTTAGTGTGAATTGGCATAATCCAAAATTTAGATGGATATTTCTTTTTTTCCTCTGACTTTCAGTGTCTGAGGGTTATCTTCTGGCCTGTGATCACTAATGGGATCACTTTCCTTTCCACGTCATCTAGGGGTTTAGTCATGTCATGACCACTTCTATTTAATTTGTTATGCTTTCTCTATATAGGATATAATTTTTTTTCTGTAGGGAGGAGAGCCATACAATTACACAATGCTAAGCAAAACTGAAGGTCAAATAAGTTACTCGATAATAATAAATAAAACAAGCTCACAGCCACAATATTGACAGCAGACTACACCACTGAGTTTTGCTGTTCTGGCTAGGAAAGATGTGACAATGATATTTCCTTGAGTAAGTTGCAGATGCAGCAAGAATACCTTAAATCATTTTTGCAAATACAGCTAAATCAAGCCAAAATAGGTTAACGACTATGAGAAATCATAAGACCCAGTGGGTAGCTATTATTAAAAAGCTTTCTCTCAATACAAACTGAAAACTTTTCATGGATGAAGCATCTTCATCATTGACATAGCTTACAAAGCACATGATGAGCCCTTTGTAAACACAGAAGCAAAATCCTACCAGCATACTCAGGCTTTCCTAATTAATGAAATTATTTGTCAGTAGCCAATATACACAATATATAGTGTTGCACTGAGGACAGATTTCTTAACAAAGAGAGAACTAAGAGAGTGACTAAAGAGTCACATCTTGAAGGCAAATGTCTGAACAAAAAAGGAAGATGTGTAACTAAGCAGCAATCTGCAGCACATAATTCATATTTTGCTCTTGTATTAATCTAGCTATTACTCAATATACTGCAGTACTATAAAACTTTTCAAACTAAAGAAGAAATTATTGAAAATGTGATGCACTCTATTTTACTATAGCTTTCAGTACCAACACTTCAATTTTTGTTAGCTTGTAAATGATTTTCTACACTAGCTAATAGAGAAAGAGCTAAAGGATGACAGCTGGAGATATTGAAAAACATTAACTCAAACCATGTAAAACATAGTGACATTTAAAAGTGATTGGAGTGAAATGGTATGTTAAAAGCTGATGTAAGTGCAACATTGCTTTATAGCTAGCTAGCTGGGCTTTGCAAGTCTTAACAGCTCCTTTTTTTTAAATCCTATGTGAAATCCCAGGTTCCTAAATTAGTGTGTTGCAGTTGGCCTGAATAGGAACAGATTTTTTTATTCATTTAGATTTCTTAATGATTTTTAGCTTGTGATCATATTTGCATGATAATGATGCTGTGAAAAATAAACAATTATGTATTTGAGGCTGACAATCTCAGGAGTAACACAAGTCTTTTGGAGGGACAGCTGTTAATATCTTTCAATTTACCATGGTAGAGAGACTGTGTAGTAAAGAGAGTGCAGGGAAAGCACCTCTAAGGCTCATATGTGGTTTCTTAGAAACTCAGCTCAATGGACACCAGAATCAGCTTTCTCCTCTGATCAAATTGTCACATAATTGGAGGAACAGTGTTCCCATCCCTGGGTGGAGATTTTTCCAGTACTGTTACCTTAGAGTAATTTCAGAACTTGTGTGTTTTTCCAGCCAAGTCAAAACTTTTGATTTCTTCTCCATTTATAGGTAATCTGACATCAAGGACTAGCATGGTCAGGGATGTGATCTAACAAGGAGCCAAAGTCCAAGTCTGCTTGGAAAGGCCTGTAGACATCTTACTGAAAGAATGGAGAACTTCTGCCTCTCAGAGAGACTGGATAGCAGGAGAATGATCACAGACCAAAGTAGTTCCCAACCAAAAGTTGTATTAAACTGGTTTTGAGGATTGGCAGAACTGGCAGGTGGTAGTGTGCACCCAGTTGTGTAGACTGTTTCTGGACAAGGTCTGTTTCTGGAGCAGGAAAGCTCTATGCTGTGTCTAACCTGAGCTTGTTAAAATTGCAGTTATTTCTACCTATAATTCATGGACACTCATGGAAAAGCTCGGAGTTTAGAAAATCAGAACAGCTAAGCAGTCACTGCAACTTTTTTCTTTTTTTTGTCTTTAGGTTTACTACTGGAAAGTGCAGAGTCTATCCAGAAGGAGTAGACGACATGTAGAAAAAAAGATCTTGACTTTCAGGGGAAACAAGACTTTTGGAATGTTACCAGGGCTAGAGCCCTATAGTTCCTACAAGCTGAATGTCAGAGTTGTTAATGGTAAAGGAGAAGGACCAGCAAGCCCAGACAAAGTATTTAAGACCCCTGAAGGAGGTATGAAATGAAAACCCTAGATATTAAACTTAAATGGGGTTTACTTGGACTTCATAAAATAATAATCTCTCTCAATACAGTAATATTCTTAAGAATTCATAGTGAATGACCTGTTTAAAGTTAATCTACTTTGTATTTACTCTGTGTTCTTTTTAAAAGTTCCTAGTTCACCTTCCTTTCTGAAGATTACTAACCCAACATTGGACTCTTTGACTCTGGAGTGGGGTTCACCCACCCATCCAAATGGTGTTTTGACATCATATACACTGAAGTTTCAGCCAAGTAAGTTAAATATTAATATATTTTGGGGGTTGGACTTCTGATCTTTCAAGTCCTTTCCAACCCAAATCATTATTTGATTCTGTGATACAACTCTAACTTAGGCAATGTATCTACCAAATAATGATCCATTTATGAAGAAAAAAATATGTTAAATTTATAATGTACAAAAGATATGATTGCATTGCAAATGTCAAGTTTGAAAAAGACTAATACATTTTGATAATATAGATGACTGTACTTGGAAATCTTTTCTTGCTGTAGTACAAGGTTAATATTTTTATTACTTTCATTACTTCAAACCGTAATTCACAGACAAATGAAGGTGAGATCCTACATATAAGTGGCATCCAAGTTAGATGCAAGATACTACCTACTTACAAATTCTGTATTCTAACTGCAGAGAAAATGTTATTAGAAGTAAACCAAAGTATGCCAAATTATATTGTTGTCTGCTTTTCCAATTTTCTTGGTATAATAATCTTAAAAAGAAAAATTTATAAATATGCCATTTACTCATCTCAGAGCTATTAAATCACTTCTTTTATATCCCAGCTGTTTACTTAGCCCAGAAATTACTCAGCAGTGACCATGGTAAGGAAAGAGTTTCATGTGCGTGGAACAGATAAAGGAAATTTACTTTCTTCCACTTACCAAGTCCCACTGTTCTTTGGCATTAGACACAAGGAGCTTCAATGTTTTCTTTTCCTAAGCATACTGAGCTTAGAGTTTCAGAATTTTTCAGTGGTCAGGGAGGGCTTCAGTGCTGCGTAAATTCAGGTGATTTGAACTGAACTCATTTGCTTTGGATTCAGAGATTTATGAGAATGAAACCTGGTCTTAAAAAACTTGCTGGTGTTTCCTATCTCCCAGTTGGATTTTGGCACCTTTATACAAAGGTGACTTTCTTTTGAAAGTGTAGATGCAGAGACAAGCAAAAAAAAAAAACAAACATACAAACCAAAAGCCTTTTAAAATACAATGACAGTGTGTGTGAGTTTCCTAATTTTTTTGTATTTTCTTTTTTTTTGTAACAACAGTCAACAACACACATGAGTTGGGTCCCTTGGTAGAGATAAGAATTCCTGCCAACGAGAGCAGCTTGATATTAAAAAATTTAAATTACAGCACCCGGTACAAGTTTTACTTTAACGCACAGACTTCAGTTGGATCAGGAAGTCAGATAACTGAGGAAGCAGTAACAATTATGGATGAAGGTAAGATATGTATGTATAAGGAAAGTCTTTGAGTTTAAAAACCACTACAGATTGTATTAAACATCTAAAAATTGCTATTGCTTCCTTCCACTAAGGAAATAGGGCCAAGTAATTTTTTTTCCTAGAGCTTTCCTAAATGTGTCATATACCAATAAAGTATTTTAAATTTTTTTAAAGAAAATACATGTAAAGGCTTTCTGCTGTAGTGGGAACCCCCAAGAAGGTACAAAGCCTTTTCTTTTAGTATCAACCCGCAACCTCTAAGACAGGCATTGGCCTTTCTGTGCTTCAAGCTTCGTGTAACTTTACATTTTTAGTGGTTATTGTCTATTCACCTGTTCTGCATCATTGACCAGCTTTGGTTACAGAGAAAAATACTGGAATAATGCAGGTTTGTGATTAGAGGAAGTTATTTACTTTTTTTTAGTATGCAAAAAAATCTAAATTGCTTTCACAGAACTGGCAAAAAACTGTGAAACTGTTGAAATAAACTTGTCATCTATGGCCCCAAGTAACTGTATAGTATTTAAAACCTACCAAGTATATTGTCAAATCCTATCACAATTGATTTTTATATTTGTAGCCATTCTAGAGCTTTGTTGAAGTTTTTTTTTAAATTAAATATGGATGCTTAACAAAATAAGAATAATTTAAAGCCAACAGGAAATTTGGAACTTTTTTTATCATTTTGATCATCTTGATATTAATAAGTCTATTTTGGTAACATGTTTTCACATATTTTTATGCTCATTAAAATGATGGTTTATTGGAAGTGCCATAGATGATTTGCTATTCAATGCAATTTCTCTGTGAGGATATTAAGTTTGCATATGAACTGTATTTATTTTAAATCTTGCACCCTAACAAGCATGACCAATAAAATTTTGTAAATGCATGTACAGCCATTTTGTCTTGTAGTCTGTCAGGGTTCAGCATAAATGGATTGTTTCTAATTTATTTGAATTAATACATTTTATCTAGTCTGCATGCTTTTTATAGTGAAATTATATGTGTCTGTTTCCTTTGGTGTTGAATCTAATTATGTAGTGTTCCTATTCTTGTTTTCCTCCACTAAAGCTGGTATTCTCCGCCCTGCTGTAGGTGCAGGCAAAGGTAAAATGAAACTGCATGATTTATTAATGTGTGGATTTTGCAGTGTTTCAAATGGGGAAATTGCAGTGGTAAGGACAGAAAATCTTGACTACACATTTTTGTACAAAGTATAATCAGGGCTGGAAGAAAACAGTTGTGGAGGTTTTTTGTTTGGGTTAGTTGGGTTTTTTTTAAGGAGTCCAGAATGTTTATGAACACCTTTCATCTGTTTGTTTTGCCACAGAGTTCCAGGGGAATTCATTAGCTTTGCTTTAGCAAAGTCTAATTATTTCTGAACATCTAACAGATGTATGTTGCTGTCATAAATATTCAGGATCCAGGTGCACTAGCACTGATTAGCTGGAGTAGAAAAAACAGCACTTTTGCAAAGGAGATTCATTTACTGCTTGGACCACGTGCATTTTTTTGTTTCAAAAAACTATCTGCAATATTGTTCTTACTGTGGATTACTGCTACCCACTTGAACACATTTACTTCATTTGCAAGCCAACTGTGCATAGGAGACAGATGACTGACAATACCCTCTGTCTACTCAGTTTGAGTATCAGAGTGAATAGACAGGCAAATGTCTTCCCACTGTTTTAGGTTCACAGATCTTGTGAGTGAGTACTGGAGGATATTTTAGTTAGTACAAGGTAGTATCATTCTTATTCATTAATTTTGGTAATATTTAGTTCTTTATGATGCAGTTTTGCACACAGTTTTAATGAATTTTGATACCTTCATTGTCAGAAGCAAAGGTTGTCCTGAGGTAGCTCAAACTCAGGAATATCTGTCTATACAGAGGTGTCATTGAATAACAGGTGTCATCAACACTAATGAGCACCTGTGCCTCAGATTCTCAGACCATAAACATCACAAGTCAAAATCTGTACATGAAGTATCGAACATTTTTAATAAACTTGGAAGAGACAGCATAAATTATTTTACATATAGTTTCTTTTCACATGATTATCAGGTGTTGTGAATGATGGCCATAAGAAAGAAATTCATTCACCCAGTCTGGTATAAATCAGACAATATATAAATATATGTATGCCTGCATTTGGGCATATATAATATATGCTTTTATATGAATATATATAAGTGTATTCTGATATCAGATGTGTTTCTGGCAAGTGTGTGAAGTTGTGGAATTATTTTGATGGCAAGTCTTTTTTTACTATTTTCTCTAGCCATAGCTGAAAAGTCAGCACAGATTGGAACAATCAAACTGGCTTTAGTCCTGGAAATGCACAGCACAAATGTAAATTAAGTTGTCATTATTTATAGTTGACTCTAAAAACTCATGCAAGGAAAAATGGATTCTCTGTGTGAAACTGAGGTCTAATTATAGCTGTATGTGGCTATCAGAAAGCATCTTATTTGTAAGATTAGCTGGAGCAGCTCACATTTCAGAGCTGTCATCTCAAATTCTCTGAAAACTAAGCAGATGTCTTTGTTTGGTTCCATGTTGTTTATGGTTTCAAAGTTTTCACATATTCCTGGACCATATAGCTCTTTCAATTACAATGAAGACTTGGACCTGTAAACAGCACAGAACCAAAGCCATGGCATCTGTTAGGACATCTGAGTTGCTGCAGGTCTGAGATGAATGTTCTCAGTGGTTACTACAATACCGTGTTAACTGCTTTGCCACTGGTCAGGGACCACGAGTAAGGAAAAGGAGGATCGTATTATCAACATCAAGCACCAAATTAGTTGGTCTCATGAGTGGGTGGATTTGGAAGGTAGAAGTGCTCACCCCGCTCAAAAAGTAGCTGGACCCAGCAGTGAACTTTCCTTTTTCTGTTAAGTGCAGGAGGGCCTATATGTCTATACAGTTCTTATTAATTTCAACCCAAAGCCAGAACAAATTTAGATCACAACCATTTTGTGGTCTTTCTAAAACATATCAGGTTTTTAATCTTGGAGGGCAGAACTTACCAGGAAAATGTAATTATCCTTTTTTTCTTTTGATTGAGCACACTGATCCTGGAATTTAAGTAGACAGTAGGTCCCAGATTCAGCTGGCCTAAACTGCTGAACTGAAATTTCTGCATTTGGTGTTTTCTACTGGATAGCTGTCTGTGAAGACCTGCAGCTTGGCCAGCCATATACATTAGACACATGGTCCTGGAGGAATTCAAATGATTTAAACCTTAGTGAGCTCTGCCACTTGGGACATACTTAGTTTCTCACACTAAAACTATAAATTGAAGTGCAGAGGGATATATTGCTGTGGTAAATCTAAGGATCTTAATAGATTCAATATTTTTAGTGCCCCAAGCCTACATAAGTAAATCATTAGATGTTATTTACCAGATGTAAAAGCTATTATATTATGGTTGATAATCCTATTTGACTTGCACTGTCATTTCTCCTTTCTAATACTGTGATGTTATGAATTACTTAAAATTGGTCAAATTAATGATACTACAAAGAAAAAAAGAAAGAATTTTTCTTAGCAAGCTATATTCTAAATGTGTCTGAAAACTTCATATGCAAAACAGAATTTATTATACCTAGTGTTAGATACTAAGCATGCCCTAGTATTACCATTAAGATATTGGCATTTAACTACAGGTATAAGGTAACAGAGGTGTGAGAAAAATGGGGGAATAACCCAATTACATATAAAATAATTATAGTAGCACCTGCAAGGTGACTCAGGTGATCACAGGAGTCAAGTCTTTTCTGTCCTTTTCCATAAGGAGTTCCAAATACCTGCCCTATAGAGGAAGGAAGAGAATTCCAGTTTGGCCGGTGGTAGAAATGAAAGTTGCTGGTTAAAATAGAGTCATAGGGATGCATGGTTTTTGTAAGCTGAAGTATAGGGAGTCATGGCATGGCATGTCAGCCTCATTCCACAAGCCTTCTCATTTCACTTTTTACTTTCTCTTTGATTTAGTCAACATTTACACTTGAAAGCAAGGACTTCTAATCTGCATGCATGCCAACACTGGTATCTGGTAGTCTTGAAATGGAATCAAAATAAGTTTGTGAGATCACAGTAACCTTTAATTGTAGCTAGTGCCTCCTGTCACTGGTACTCAATCTGATCTGTCTTCTTCTACTGAACTTCATATCTCAAGTACCAGTGACAAAAAGTACTCCCTTTTGTTACACAGGGGATAAATAAGTAGTCTGTCCTCTGGGTTTGAAGCTATTCTTTTGGGGTTTTTGAATGAATCACCAGTATGTAACTCCTCACTGTGGGCTGGAAATCAGTCTCAACTGAGTTTGTGTCTCTGATCTCTTTGTAGAAGATCATCTCAGTTTTCTTTGTTCTGTACAAAATGCAGTTCTTTAAATCATTTTCTCTGCCCACCATCTGTTTTCCCTCTCTCTTGAACAATTTCACATAATGTCTCCATGTCTTTTGCTAACAATTTCAAGCTGCTTTTACAGTCAAGTGAAGTGTAGTATTTTTGTATTGCTCCTTCAGCCACTCTCCCCCTGTGGACTCCTTCATTATGTATTTGTGTGATTCTTTCAGTACAGCCTGCTATGCAGAACCACTCTTTTGTCCTCTTTTAAGTTCACTGGGAACAATGCTGATTCTTTGCATGACTAGACTAGAGAAAATTATTATTATTACTGTGCAAAAATTCCTGAAAATGCCTTTGCTTTGTAGATGTCATGCTATATGCTCATCAGTGACATAATTTTTTGCATTTCTTCTTTGGTTTTTGTATTTCTTACACTACAGAAATGCTCTTGCAATTGATCTAAATAATCCCAGAAGTGACTGATGCACATTTCTTACTGCCAGAAATGGAATTCTCTCCTACTGTTATACTTATAACTAGAATTTCATACTACAAATGTTTAAAAGGCAAAGGAATGTAAACCACTTTTCTGCGTCTGACAGGCTCTGACAGAAACTATTGCCTTTGTCCTTCATTTTTTTTCTTTTGTGGGTGTAGGTTTTATCCTTTAAATTAACTTTTCTCTTTATATATGCATTTTAACTTAAATTTCTATGATATATTATTTTGTGGGGTTTTTTTTTCCCATTTGACACTAGTCTTCAAATTTATGCTTGGCACTCAACGCAACGTTTTCTCCTGAGTATCGGGTGAATTCCATGAAAATTCCTAAACTTTAGTCACTTTGGGAATTATTTGATTTATTGTTCTTCTGGACAAAATCTTGAGAAAGAGTACAATTTCATTGTTAAAATACCTTCCAATCTCAAGTCCTGTCTTATTAAATTCTATTGATTCTGCAGCCTGGTTATAACTGTTATTTGTAGGAACTGTGTTCCTGAAAGGCTGAAAAATTAAATAAAACTCTACCAAAAGACTACAGTAAAAAAGCACTGGAATTAATTTGAGAATAAAAGAAAATTTAGCTTCAAGCCTAAGCCTCTTTCTCAACAATTGGCAAATGCTTTTATATGATGCTTTTATGCTTTTATATTTTATACAACATGAATGAAACCATACTTGGAAATGCCAGCTGAATTTTCCCTGATGTCAGGGCAGGAATGAAATAGCTTAATTAAGGTAGATGAATAAGAGTGGGTCTGTATAAAACCTGTAGCTTACTAGCAATCCATTCCCATGTATTTTAGAGTGATGCTTTTGCCAGCAGTGCTGCACAGCGTGGGGCATGGTTACAGATGAGAGAGCACAGTGCTCTGCTCTCCAGTGCAGAGTTTCCTGCCCGCCCCTCTCCCCTCCTCTTTCCCAACTGGCGCTTGCACATGCTGGGAGCTTCTGCCAGCTGACAATTACACATTTGCCATTTGTGAGCAGTGCTGGGAAACATACTGAATAACTGAGAGGTTAATTATAATTAGAGGTGTGGTGATTGGGGAGACAAAAGAGTCTGGGTGGATTGACTACAAGCTTTAAATGTTGTAACCAATTCACCTCCAAGTTTTCATCACCTCAGGATCCATCAGCCTTCTTTTATGTGCTTCTGTGTGTAGTCATGTTGCAAATATGGCACATTTAACTGACTTAAGTAAAGCTTGGCAGGCCTGATGGCAAATGAGATCAAGCAATAATGCAGAAGAATTGCAAAAATAATAACTTTGCAAAGAAGCACACTACTGAACAAATTTCCTGGTGAACCTTATTTAATAGTTAAAACTCACAGAATTTAAATCTGACCAAATACTACATGTGGGTAAATCTGTACATACAGCTATTGGTAAGAATCAGATATAAGTACATTTGATAAATATAAGTATAAATTAGTCACTTGAGAGAAATTAGAAGTAAGATGACAAGGAAATTATGGTAACTTTCAGAGCAAACTTGATTGTTTGATCATAGGAACACATGATCAATCATATGAATAGAAAGACTTTTACCAGATACTTTAAACTAGCAGACAACTCTTTAATGAGAGCAGAAAATGGAAATTGGGCATGGAAAAATACCCCACAAGATAAGATCAAGCGATTATTGAATTTGCTTCATAATTCAGAAACTCTGCATAATCTGGAGTCTTTCACAGAAGATGAGACAGTTTCCTTCATCCCCAAGTGCTCGAGCATGAGAAGGAAGAAGTTAGGGGCAATGCTATGGCATCTGTTTGCAGGAGTACAAAAGATTATTGCTAACAGTTTGTTCTGTCCTTAATATTGGGACAAATATCGCTTGTACGGTTGGGCTGCTAATTCCCATTCCCATTTGGGCTTCCATTCCATGGAAGACCGAAATTTAGGACAATATGACTTTGAGAAAATGCAATTTAATGAAACAAAACAAAGTCATATTTCAAATACAAACCACTTGTTTTCTTGGCACAGCACAAACACTGAGATTATTGTTGAAATAAACACCTGTTCCTATGTCTAAATCAGGAAGGAGGTTTATACATCCTGTCTGCAATCTCAGACTCTGCACCCTCCTAAATTTAGAGACTGCTTTTCTTTCCTCGTGCTACCTCTACAAGTGGCACAGAGAAACAGAATCTAATACCCTTGCATTACCATGTTGTGTATTTTGATACATGCTAGATTTCCCATAGACAGCTCTGGCTTTGGTATTTCTTAGGATGGTTGTTGCGACTTAGAGACCTAGATGGCTCTTTTTTTTTTTTTAATGTAGTGCTTTCTCAATTATTTTGTTCAGGTGGTTTTAACAAGAAATTAATCCATTCTTTATTATTTAAATAATATATTCCTTATTATTTCGGTTGGTGATAAAAAATTATTCTGTAAAACATTGTAATAATCAGAAAACATTATCATAAGAATCGATGAAATTTGCCTAACTTAGGTATTAAAAAAATACTCAGAAACTATAGTTTTCTAGACATGGTACTCATATTATTTCATCTGTTCTAGGGGCCCAAGTAAGCCATTTTCTCTGTGCATATAACTTTAAACTTTTTCCAGCTGGCCATATGGACAAAGCCAGCCTGATAGAAGAAGAAGAATTTAAGTGGATAGATAAATTCTGTGTAGCCTCTTTTGCCTTGATAACAGGCTTTTGCTCATTTTATTTTCTTGTGTAGATGAAGGCATTGGAATTCTGTAATTTGTCTTTACTGAGACTAGATTTTTACCTCTGATGTTTCATGGACCTTTGGGAAGCATTTTTAATGTTCCTAATAGAAAAGCTATTTTTAGCAGGATAGAAAACTCAGTGGCAAAGTGAAGCATTTTCAGTTAAAGCTAATTTCATACCTCTGAGGAGCATCATCTTTGTATCTGCTGTATACAGAATTAGAACTATTAAAATCTATTTTTTCATTAGTCTTAGGAAAGCAGAGACGCTGAGCTATGTGTTCATTGTATATGTGTAGCAACCGTTACTAGCTTGTTACAGAGAACGAAGGTATGAGCAGAGAAGTGGCAAAGAACGAAGGTATGAGCAGAGAAGTGGCTAATTTCAGAATGCTGAAGAGAGAAGCTCTTCTTTTCACAGATGTGGGCATTCTGCATGTGTGTGAGAAGTGCTGTGTCTGACTGGAATGGCAGCAGGGAGACACGGTGCCCTACAATGGGCAGCTCCTTGCATTCCAGTCGTGTCCTTCACTCCAGAGTACTCTGATATTTGCTTTCCAATATCAGATATCTAGTTTTCCAGCATCTAAAGGTGCCATGAATGCATAATATTAACAAAAGCTGATTTCAGGAATGTCCTGTGAAAGCAAAGCTGCCAGTACATACATACTTCAGTTTGTTTTCAAATACATGTGTATCACTTAGCTTTTTCATATTTTAACAAGTAAAACTATTTGAAACCTGCATGATCTTAGAATGTGCATGTGTTATTTATTTAACAGGTAAGGTTTTACTGTATTAGTTAATTGCTACTTTTTGATGCAAAATGTTTTTACTCTTTATTTTTTCTTTCCTACTATCTCTGATGGTGAAGGATATTCAGAAATCCTTTTTGCAACTTCCCCAGTCATGCATACTGTCCGTCCAACATTCTATAAGGGTATTGTCTTCCTTTTTTATCGCTATCCATGCAATAGAGCCAAAATCCTGTAAGGGCTTGCACTTGGGGCATTTGCAGTCCATTCACTGCCACATGCCATAAAGGGAGAAGCTTACCACCTTCATGCCTCCCTTCTGTCCTACCATTTCCCATTACCCTGACACTGTTCTCATCTCTTTCCAGCTGTCTGCATTTTACTTCCAGATGAATAGAAAAAATGTTTTTTGGAATTTTGGCAGTTAGGTACTTTTTAAGTATTTGGCAGTTTTTATGTTACAGAGCATGCTCACTAAAGTACATACATTTTACTTTATAATTTCTTAGTGTAGTAACTTCCTGGGATTAAATTTCAAAATACATTAATCACTAATTTCCAGTAATGGAACCAATGAAAAATGTGCTATACTTTCCTTCTATATGGTCTAAATTAACATAGTAACTTCTTTTAATACTTTTTTTAAATGTATGAAGTCACAACTGCATATTCTGCTTTGTTTTTCTGTTGTGTATTTAGTTCAACCACTTTATCCAAGGATCAGAAATGTTACAACAGCTGCTGCTGAGACCTATGCCAATATCAGTTGGGAGTATGAGGGACCAGATCATGCGAACTTTTATGTTGAATATGGTGTAGCAGGCAGTAAGAAGTCATTTCATTAAATTCTGATAAAGTTTTGAGATGTATTTTGGATTTTTATAGTAAATGGGGTCTTAAATTGACCCAGTGTTAATGATAGCTCTTAAATGTCTTAAATTATTTTATAATTTGATCAGGAAGATCAAATAATTTTCATTTGAATAAACATCAATGCTTAGCATGTTTTTGATGAACAGATAAACATGAACCTTTGTTCCTTTGTATTATTTTATAAATTCTTTTGAACACGAACTTCTAAAAACATAGTTTGCATGAAGTTGTTTATCATGGAGCGATTACATGTGTAAAAATATGATTACTTGCATTAAAGTAGGATACAAGGATTTTCCTAAACTATGCCTAATTCAGGGAAAAAAAGATTAAATAAGATATCCTTTGTTAAATGAAACCTTAAAATAAGATATGAAACAATTTATGTGCCCTTATTGCCTAAAACCATGTTTAAAACTTTGATAATACTGGTAATAATTAGAACAGAGTTAGCTAATAAAAGCAAGATACTTCTTTTCAAATACCCCATCCTTCTAAAGTTATGTCAAAAGGTGACTAATCTGAAAATTGAAATAGAAATGCATTTTTCTGGATATTAGCCAAGAAATGATTGTCCTAGAAAAAAGATACAGAGGAGTTTCAGATTTTGAAGTAGAACTTCTTGACCAAAATAAATATGGGCTGAAACTGCAAGTGTCATTTAATAAAATGTCTAAAATCTATTTTAATGTATCTCATAATTACAGGTTCAATAAGCATTTTAAAAATAAATTAAAATTGTATTTCTTTAGTACAATGGAACAAATGTTTAAAATAGTTTAATAATTACTGTACAACGAATTCTTTAATATGTTGCATGCAATTTATTACTCATAATTTTTTATAATTATTTTTGAGACAACAGCTATTTGTCTCAGATGATCCTTGGATTAGTCAAGTAACTGTCAGTAGTATTTTGTCTAGAAACTTTCAGTAATACAGATAAAATTAAAATACCAATTTGTTGTTTTCCTAAAATTTTTATAGGCAAAGAAGATTGGAAAAAAGAAATTGTAAATGGTTCTCGAAGCTTCTTTGTCTTAAAGGGTTTAACACCAGGAACAGCATATAAAGTCCGGGTTGGTGCTGAGGGCCTGTCTGGTTTTAGGAGTTCAGAGGATGTGTTTGAGACAGGTCCAGGTGAGGCACACTGTACCGCAGTACATTTCTGTATCCTAGCCAGAGTCGTGTTAGACCAATGGTGAAATGCTGAACTGCTTGTAGCGAAGAGATGTTGCAGCTAGAATCTTTGCATGTTCCTTTCACAGAGCAATGTTAAATCATTTTATAAATGCTTAAATAATGTCAGCTTATTTATATTTGAATTATGAATGTTACTATCCCTTCAAATCACTCTACTTGACTGATGTTTGTACTAGGGGCAATATATGCCCTGTTCACACTCCATCTGTGTGCTGTGCACTGAAGATGACCTATTTCTAATATTTCCAGTTAGTATAATTACAGGGCTGTATTTAAATAATGCTGCTTTTTATAGGGCTAAAATATTTGCATAATGCAGATTCGATTTGATGTCTCATGTAAACTATTTATACCAGTGTTAAGACATTCCTACTTGTAAATCTCTTTTCCTGCCATATACTAGTTTAATATGGATTTTGATGTCACACATATATCCCGGGAATCAGTAAGGCTGTTTAAGTTTCTTATGTTCATACTGCAGTCCTATTTCTTTGTAAGCAAATCAGCAATGCCTGCCAGTTGCACTCAGGAAAAAAGTTCAGTTGGAAGGTTCTTTGATGTTGTGCTGAATATTGTGTTGCCATCACATGCCATGCCATCATCATGTTCTTGATGAGCTGTTATTATTTTTGTCTTTGCCAGCCACTTCTGCTCATTCTAAGCATTTTAGCCAGTGCATAGTTATACAGCAGTAGCCCCACCAACTCCAGAATGTTATGTTATAAGAAAGTATTTTAAATATGAAAGTACACTTGAACATTATGTTATATTTATCAGGCAACAATATAGATAATGGGTATGCCAGTTTGAAAGTGAGCACTTTCTAAAATCATCCTTTTTTCCTTTGATTTGTTCAATTTCTGTTCACAGTTTATAATGTTGCAGGAAGGTTTGAAAACATAGCACTGAATAACAGTGCCAGGCAAATATGTACAGGCTGAATACAGAGCCAGGAACAGCTAGTGGTGCAAAAGCCTACCTGTGAAATGCTATGCGTATACACATCTGAAGCCTAAAGGAGCAGAAAACAAGGATCAAGACTGTAATATAATTCAAAACAAGTTGCATGGAAACCTTCCCAAAAGCATCTCCCTGCATAAAAAGTACTGAGCCAGTAGATAAGGATTCCTGTACTTACCCAGTCATGTTAACTCATGCCCTTGTGTAGTTAAGGAAGAAGGGACTTGAGACGCTCTCATTTCTAGTGGCAAGTTGCAATGTCCAGCATGAAATTTTAAACAGCCTGTTTCTTACAGAAAAATCTTCTGTCACACTGTCTTCAATCTTGGTCAAAGCTTTTAAACATTGCAAAAAGATGGAGTTGACAAAGAGGCAAACACTGGAGTATGTCCCTATTAGGAATAAAACTTTGATATTTCAAATATGAGGCTTTTCCCACATATTTTTCTTTGACAAGCATTCCTATAGAGCATCTTCATAGTGTGCAGGTTTATCCTTTTGGGTATTCCTGGTACAGTGTTCTGCATTGACTCCTGCATTTGTGGTTTGCCAAGATGCAAGGTTGTCCTGCCTGAAGCAAATAATTTGCTTACCATAGGCAGGAAATGTGCCATTTTTAAAGATGCACAGATATCTAGAAACCCTTTCGTACTGGAAATGCAGTAAGTTAATACAGGAAGCTGCATAAGTAAGTTTTCATCTTCCATCTATCTTGCATATTTTTATGCATGAGTTTTTGGCTTGATTCTATTTCTTACTACATTTGAATTTGAATTGTGCTTTTGCATTTTGTTACAGTATGTATTATACAACATCTGATGTCCTGTTATGAATGCAGATGCACAAAACTCAAAATAATTTTAACCTTAAGATGAAAGCAAAATTTTCTTTTATTTTCATTTGTAGTTCAGAGGAAGATTCCTTTTGTGATTTTAATTGCCACTTTTTAATATTTTATGTGTATGTATTTACGTATGTTTATATGTGGCACAAAGAGTATAAATATTTAGGTATATAGACGATATATGAGATGTGGAGACTTCGATGCAAAAATAGTTTCAATTCCTGTGCATATAAGAGTCACTTTCTAAAATATCAGAAAATATTAAAAGGGACTGAGAAATCTTCTGAGTGTATCTCCAAAATAACTCAACACATTAACTCACTGATTTATTTAGATGAAAATCAAGTCATAGTCCAGTGAGACCAAAAATAAACATTTAAAGAAAAAGGTAATTTTAGCATAGTACTTCTAAAGTGGAATACACACTGGTCTTCTGTATGGAGTGGATTGGAGATACTGTACATCAGAAGAACTTTGTGTTTCCATAGAATCCATCGGGAATGTGAGACCATTGCTGTTTTTCTAAGATACCTGTCTCACACTCCTTAACTAGAAAATGACACTGAGACATTGACTTGAATTCTGTCAGTTGAGCAGCTCTTCACAGAGTTTCAAACTCTTGGGTTTTGGGTCTGGAGAAGAAGTTGAAGAATGAATGAGACAGGTTTGGATAGATGTTCATCTTCCTCCACTTCATATTTTTTTTGTTTGGAGCATGTATCCCTAACTCCTCTCACGCTTCCACTTTCTCCCAGCAGCTAATCCTAAATCAAGTTGCCTGTAGTGTATTTCCAGCAATAGAGGAAAAAATTAGCTTCACCAGAATAATCCTCCTACTGTGTTGGAGACCAGGAGATCCAGACCTTAGACCACATAGTTAATTCTGTTCTTCTTACTGCCTGTAGTGTTTTCTTTGTAGTTTGCTTATTATTTACATTATCTTCCAACTAGAGTCAGCATTGGGAGAGAAATAGTGCCAAGGGAAGGCTTCCCACCTCACTAATGCTAAATCATGGCAATCATGATAAATTAATTGTAGGATGAGGTATGGGTTTGAGGAAAGAAAGAAAACCTGATGTTTAATAAAGTTTTAAAGGATGCTTCATTGTTGATATTTAGTTGAAATTTAATGTTAGGGCTCTTGAATGATCCATCTGTTTCCCCATTTCAGAATGATGGAAATACATTAACTTATCAGTATTGGCTTTTTATTCATCTTGAGAATGCAACTGACATATTTGTGTAAACTGCAACTTGCAACTTTATTTCAGGAGTTTAATTAATTCGAAATGGTTGAGAATAGTTTTGAGATTTGTGTAAAGTAATGTAGCATGTACAGAGATTTTGCAAAGTAGTTGCTAAGCTTAAATGCTAGCAGACACTTTATATACTGAAAACTGACTTCTATGCATAGGTACTTGGAAATATTCTGAATAATGAAAATACAAAATACAGAATAGCTGTTTTTCTTAATGCTATCTGTTTTTCACAGTGAATGTTATTCTTTAATGAACATTGTATTTTCTATTATTTATCTGAATTAGCATAGCATTTAAATGCAGCAAAACACATTTTTTCTTCTTTTATCTCTAGCAATGGCAAGCCGGCAGGTAGACATCGCTACTCAAGGATGGTTCATTGGTCTCATGTGTGCCGTTGCTCTTCTGATCTTGATTTTACTGATTGTTTGCTTCATAAGGAGGAATAAGGGTGGCAAGTATCCAGGTATGCTGTGTACTCAGGGTAGTAAAATTCATCTGCTGGTAACCCACTAAGCCAGATCTCAGGCTTACTGGAAAATTACATTTGCTGCTGATTTAAATTTACACTGTGTATATGGCAAATTGTTGGGCTTAGCAGGAGCCATCTGCCTTTTGGGAGGAAACCTACATCTATTTCAGCATAGGTGAAGGACCTTCTTCATTCCCAGAGGGTCCTGTCAGTGCATGACCTCTCTAGAGAGGTTGAACTTTGTTTGGAACATCACCACCACTGCACATTGCACTTTCTGAAGTCCAATGCAGATGAGTTTAATCCATTAACATGAGTTGAGTTACAATTTTTTTGGTCAGAAAGTCCAAATCATAGCGACTGGTTACTTTAAAGTATGGGGAATGCATGCTGTAGGACAAATCTCTTCATATGTTATATTGTTTCCATTACCTTGAGTTCCTTCCCAGAATCTGTGTCATCTTCAGCCTCTGCAGTTTTTCAGCTAAGTTTAAAGTTACCATTATTCAGTTAGACTGGGATTTTTTTTTTCTATATTTTTTTCGTTCTAAGAGGAGGTGTAAAATAAATGTTTTTTTATAGTATGTTTAGGAATTGCCAAGTATGTTTAAAATTTTTCATTAAAAATTGGAACTAGACAATGTATGTCTTCTATCAAAACACTCATCCCTCCTGGTGTACATTACAAAAGGCATATATAATGTGTGTGTATGTATGTATGTGGATGTACAGGTATCATATATATCTTTCCCTAGTGTTATATTTCTTTCTATGGAGTAGCTCCATAGACCAAAGCTCTCTTGAAAAGGATAGTGAGAACCACTGTAGCTTGCACAGTACTGCTGGATAGGATCTCAGAGCAGCTGTTGAGGTATGAGTGACTGTGAATGAACTTCAAGTGAGCATCCAAGGATAATCTGATTTTTCATTCTCCTATTCTAGCTGCAATAGAAAGTACAGTTGCTAAGTTTCATGTAAAATCTTGATTTAATGAAAAATTATTTTCTCCTAGGGTTTGGGAATAAATATCTAGACTCTAGAATGCTTATTTAAATTCAACTCAAACTTCTTGAAGTCCATACTGTTAATTTGGGCATGAAAAAGATGGATGCATTTAGAAAAGTATAAAAGAAAAATCCACACTTTATTTTCTTCTGCTTATTTTGATCAGTGCACTTTTAAAAACTTTGTGTCAGGGAACACCAAGAACTTCAGCTCCTCAGAGAGAAATCAGCTGGAATAGAATAGCAGATTATTTTTATGAGAAAAATCACGTTATTAAGTACAAGAATTCTATTCTGTTAGATTGTTTTACAGAGAGAACAAAGATCTGTAGTGACAGCAAAAATTAGCTAAGATAAGTTTCTGTTCCAGCTGCCTATGCCTATGAAGAAAACAGATGATTAGGGAACACATAGTGTTACACAGAGTTATATGACAGGCTGAAGACATCCTCTTAGTTTTTTTTTTTTTTTTCCTAATATTTTGATTTTTCTAAAGAGAAATGACATAACAGGATATAGAAAAAATGATTCAGGTGACTGAAACAAGTGATGGAACTGAAAAGAGTAGGGAGGACATGGAGTGAACCACCATCCAGAGGAGGGTAAAACAGATTTTGACTAAAAGTGTGGAGGGCAGTTGGATGGTAAGGTTGTAATTACTTTGTGGATCCTTGATATTCTGTCTTTTTTGCTGCTTCTGCAGAATTATTACTTGCAAGGTATATGTTTCTTCATGCACAGGTACCTATGCATATACACACACATATATAAAGGTGGACCTGGACTGTTTTTAAGATTCCCAGAATCAGTATGTACCAGTGTTTATAGCAGTGACTCTGTATTTCTTAGGTCATTGCAAATGTACTGTTCCACAGGTAGTGACAAACAGAAAGCACTAAATTATGAAATCTATGAAAATTTAAGTTATTAACTCTTTCTCATCATAATTTTTTGCATGTCATCCTGAGGTTGCCTGTGGTTTGTAGAAAGTACTTCATTACTTCAGTATGAAATTATATCAGCCTGATACATCTCAAGGCCTTATGTGTTATGTGTCCTGCAGTTAAGAACTTAGTAAATACTGTCAAGAATGATTAATATCCTCTTAAATAATGGCACATAAATCAGTGATGTAAAAATAAAGTGTGGAAATTACCAGAGTAAAAGACAAGAGATTGTGTATTGGATTATATAATTGTATCTGCTAGACAAGGGAAAAATTTGAATATATGCCAGAAAAACAAAAATGAAAAGTCAAAGGGCAGAACCATAAATAGATTTCTTAAAGTCAGTATATTGTTTTATCCTGTGAACAATCTTAACTTATAGGAATACATGTCACCTGTAAATACCTGACTCCTCAGGTGCTTGTGGGTTTCTTTGTCAATGTGCTACATTTATTATGTTATAGGGACAAGTTATATGCCTAGATTTATTCCCACCAGTGAACAAGGATTAAACCTAAAATCAGAATGTGCGAGAAATACAATTGTGTAAAATTTAGGTTCCAGTGTATGTGACTTTGTGTTGGGTTTGATCATGTTGTAGAAAAAAAGAAAGAAACCATGCCTAGTATTTTGAGAATTATTAATAATGAAAAAAAAATCTAAAATTGGAGGTTTACTACATGAAATTAAAGCAGAAAATGTACAAACTGACAGTGAACAAAAGTGAATCTGATTCAGTTTTATCAATCAGTATGAGAAAAATATCAAGAAGAAACAGAGAGTATTGTTAAGCAGAACTAAATAATTCAAATTTGATTAAGCAATAACTCTATTAATAATCTAACTAAATATGTTATTTTAGTAGGATTTTTAACAATTTTCTCTCTTTAGTGCTAGAAATAAAAGAGAGAAAGTTCTGCTAATGAAAAATGGCATACAGTCATACTTGAATGGAAATAAAATCCTATAACAATTAACAGATCTTTTTCTTAAAAAAAAAAAAAGTAATAGCCTACGGCCCCATTTAAAAATAATTTTTATTCAAAAGACATTCCTGCCAAATGTTATCAGTTTTAGAAATTAAGGTCTTACACTTTCTCATCTTGCAGTTTCATGATAAAAATTATTATTTCAAATATTTTAGTGAAGGAAAAGGAGGATGCACATGCTGATCCAGAAATACAACCTATGAAGGAAGATGATGGAACATTTGGTGAATACAGGTGAGCAGCTGATGTGGTTTGTCAAGTTCACTGTTGATGTCACACATGTACTGTATATAGTATCACACTTATTAATTTAAGACTAACTTTTTTTTCCATTAAAAGATTTTGTATCCTGTATTATTTAGAACTAAAAATAACATTTCAACCACAACATTAGGAAAAAAAAAAATTATCCAAGCTTAGTATAAGCCATTTGCTAATTCAAGGTGAAAACCACATTCAAACACAATTGTATGTGTTTGAAAGTCAAAGTGTGGAATCTTTATTTACAAAACCATCTTTCAGAGAGTTCAAATGCCAGATACAGTGTCCTTTCAGTTAGGGCACTATGTTGAGCATTTCAGTTTTTGAAAATAAATTTGTAACTGAACTCTAACAAAGACAATCTGGTGTTGACTGGAAAACAAATGTGTTTAAAATCGCTGTCAGTACTAACATCTAATCCAATAACAAAGAAGTGATGTTATACACAGAGGTGAAGGAGTGTCCTACAAAGAAAGCAAATGTCCCTTTCATGTATTTCAGTACAAGATATGTAGCAAGCAGCTTCAAAGCATGCAGCACAGCTCTTATTCTTACACTCTTCTTTATACTAGCCAAATCTGGCATTAGCAAAAGCATGCCTTGGCAAGACTATTCATACAACAATTATGAATATAGCTTATTAAAAAGCAGTTTATTTGTTTTTTGATTAGTACAAAAAATAATCTTACTATTTTCTAAATAGGTCAATAAGATTATATTTCACGTGGGTATGAAATAGATTTTGTGGTACATTCCTGTGTCAAAAGCAGCGTAGAAGTTCTTTATTACTGCAAAGATTTGGCATTTAAAAATGTACATAGAAAAAGCAGATTTTTTTTCAAGAAGGATCTACTTTGTTGCCATAGCTTCTTCACAGAAGGAGAAGTTACATCCTGATCTGACAGGACTAGATGTACAGTTCTGAATGCTAAGGAGCAGTTTCTGTTTATTCTTCTCTGATTAAAAACAGTATACTCCATTCTTAGGTTCATGAGATCAGTATAGTATTCCATTACAGCTGTAAGTTCATATGAATTACCTAAATTCAACAGATAAAAAGGGAAGTATGGAGCAATCTTTGGAAGGAGAGTTTAAGAAGTATACTGTGTAAGGTTTTCTGGGAAGCCTAGTTTGCATGCTCCTTTTTTGCTCCACTGGTTCTTGAAACTTGCAACTTCCAGCAGCAGAAACTGACCTTTGTACAGAATTGTACAAATGATGTGACCTCAATGCATGTTTTCTCAGGCCTGGAATAAGTATTCAAGCCTGCTTTCATGTGTGACCTGTAGCAAGGTTTGAATTTATGTCTCCATGTTTAGTGGTTTGAGTTAATCTGAAGAATGATCTAGAGCTTTATTAAATATTTTTATAATGCATTCATTCACTCATGTCTAGTGAATATGGGCAGATGCATGCCAAGCTTTCACACTTATTCAATGGGAGAGTTCTATGTACCCTGCAAAACCTCCTTTTAAAACTGTATTTCTGTGTAATTAGTCTATATTGGGCTTTCCTCTTTTTTCCTTAGAGACAGGGCAGGAGCAGCAACCAGTCAGATTACAGAAGATACCTTGTCATCCTCTCTGCAGCCCAGCATCACTGCAGTCACTCAGTTCCCAGTTTGTCTGCCTCACATGATGCGGTGCTTCTTTGAGGAAAAAGGGTATAGGGTTTCCCTTGGAAAAAAAATGTAATTTTTGAAGGATCTAGGAATTCGAGTATTTTGAACTTTTTTCATCACTTCAGGTCCATGTCTGCTTGGACAGGAAAGAAACTGGACAAGGAAAAGAGAACAAAAGGTAGCTGTGCCAATTCTGCTGAAGCAAACCCTGTCTTTACCAAAGCAAAGTCTGTGAGATCTGACAGACCCAACTTCTTCAGAAGGTCAGGGGATCAATACTCCAGCACCAGATCAGAGACCTCCTACACCAGGAGGAGGGCTAGGCAGTCTTCAGAGCTTACAAGGGTTAGTTCTGTCTCTGCTTCCCTCTGCCAAGAGGAAAAGAGGTCAGACAAATGGAAGTACAGGCATGGCTCTAGACATCATGCTTCTGAGCAACACATAATGGGGTCGGAGGAGGGCTCAGATTCTCAGGCAGGACAGCCATCCCCTTTCCAGACACCCCTCAGCTGCAACTCAGTTGGTGGCTTACTGGCAAGGCAGCATTCTTCTCTCCAGCACTGGTGCAGCCAGACCCCAGACTGCAGCTCAGACTCAGACGACACACAGAGCTCCTGCCACAGGAAGGTAAGACCTTCTACTGCTACTCACTTCTCCGAATCTGAAAAGAATTCACTAATGAAGTCTGTAATCTTGCCTGAGCTGGCCACTGTCTTAAAGGATGCTTTGACAGCAGCCAGACAAAGCATAACATCTGTGGCACAGGCTAGGACCCATTCAGTGAAGCATCCCAGGATACCAATTGCAGAAGTTCCACTGGTTCCTTTAGAAGCATCTGGGAGCAGTTCCCAGATTTCTGAGTTTGATCATATGGACAGCTTAAAATATCAAACAGCTCCTGGGAAGGAGAAACCTGAGGCTGACAAGGCCTTGGAGGTTGAATCAGCCCCTGAAGATGGGGAGGTGGCATCTGAGTCCCCTACAGAAGATCCAGAAGGACCAGATCCTCTGCGTAAATTTGACATGGAGAATCAGAATTACCTTTTTGAACACATAAAGAGGGTGCTAATGTTAAAATCTTCCAAATCTGAATGTGCCTCTGAAGAACTATTTATTCCCTCTGAAGAAGGCAAGGTAGATAATGCACTTCCTATCCATTCTGCTGTGGAAGATCTTGTCTGCAGGATTTGGGGAAATCCAGAAGGCAAGCATGAAGCCCCACCAATCCTACATAAGCTCTATCCTTTTCCAGTGGATAAAGCTGCTTTGTGGGGGACCTTGCCTGAGGTGGACAGAGTATTGGTTACTGGTAATTCTGTACTGTCAGTGCCTGATAATAGAGGTGCTCTCCCTAAAGATCCTACTGACAGAAAGATTGAGGAAGCAATTAAAAGATCTTTTAAGCTAGTTGCAGCCCAGCTTGGAGTATCTATCTACTGCACTTATGCTTCTAAAGCTTTACTAATATGGTTAGAGGAAGAACAAGCTAGATTCAAAAAGAAATGGGTCCCATCTGGTGCCATGCAGAGAAAACGCAGGCTGTGTAAAATTGCAGCTAATTTTATCCACGATGCAGCTGAGGATTCTCTCAGACTCACTGTTAAAAATGTGGCATGCCTCACTGTAGCCTGGAGAGCTCTCTGGCTGCGTCCTTGGAGCTCACCACTAGATCTGAAATGTAAACTGCTGTCCTTGCCATACACAGGGGGCAAGCTGTTTGGTGAATCCTTAGTCCAGATCATGAAGGATGTCTCAGAACACAAGCACTACTTACGTCAGAGGAAAAAAAAGAGCTCGGCTGGAAGCTCTTCCTGTTCTCCTCACAAGGGTGTGAGTTCCTTGCGTTCTCCTCCAAAGTTCAAAGGAGGGAAGGGAAAGTATAAGGTCTCACAGTCATTTCATGCCAAGTATGAAAAGACATCTCACTTTCAGAGAGATATCAGACCATCAAGAGGAACTTTCTAAGAACATAGACTTCCTAGTTTCACAGGAGCCGAGAAGTGTGGAAAGACATGGAAATGTTTCAGTATTTCTGGACAAATAAACCCAGTGCTTAGAAAATTAGTTGTTTCCAAGTAAGATTTAAATTATGAAGTTACTTAAATCTTAATGACTAATTAAGCTAGAGAAATCATAGCTCTCAAATCCCCTCTCTTTAGGGGAGGCTTTTTCCCCATTCCATTTCTAGGCTTCCTAGTGGTCTTGGGATGGTTTGGATTTGTTTGAAGTTTTGCACTCCTCAATGTCAACTAAGAGAATACTTTCTGTGTGAGAGCTGGCTGGTCTGCAGGACCAGACAACAATCAGATTTTTTCTGCCATATTGATCTAGTGAAGGAAATAATGCTTTAGGAAATGCAGGTGTTTCAGGAACTATGGAATGACTATGGATGCTATATTCCTGTGATTGGATGGATTCCTTCATTTTTACATAATAAGGGAAAACAGTGCCTCTGTAGCAATTTTCTCTGCACTCTCAGTGGTTTTCTGAGTTGTAGAAGACTGAGACAGTAAATTGTGGACAGTCATTGTCTACACCAAGAACCTGCAAGAAACAGAATAACTACCACAGATGTGTGTTGAGGTCAGTGTAGGTGTAAAAATCAGCCTAAATTTTCCTCTTGGTCCATAAATGGAGAGAAATTAAGGAGTTATGACAGCTACAGACCTGTGAGTTCATGGGTAGGAAGACTGGAAGCAAACAACTACAAGTGAAGGACGAAAGTCCAGTGGTCTGCAGAATGTTCTTAAGAAGATGAAACAGGATAAGGCAACTACAGTGGATGGATTGATAGTGTGGTAACACAGGAAATTTGCACATTTTTTTGCCTCTTTTCTTCAATATTTTGACACTGTTATTTTTCCTAGAAATTCTAGGATATGCTGTGAGACACTGTGGCAGAGTGTTCTGGGATTGCTAGATAATATATTACTCTTCCCTCTTCTGAGCTATCTAACAATGAAAATAAAGTTTGTAACCACAATTGTGGGGGTTTTCTCTTGTAGTTACTTAACTTGCAGCTTAGGTGTGTTTCCCTAGGGACCTAGCCATGATTTGTGCCTCAGGACTGTAATTCTAAGCTTGGTCCCTTGCAGAACAAGAGGTTATCTCAGTGGACTGCCTGAAGAACTGAACAGTCCAATTGGATTTGGCAGTAGTCTTACTGTATTCTAATTTACACACATGTACTTTCTTTGACAATTCTTTTTTTAATTCTTGAATACTTGTGTGGTTAACAACTTTTTCAGCACATTGCTTTTTAAAGCCAGGGCTTTATCACCCTGTTTTTTCAGCTTCTGTCAGGATTGAAGATTGAGTATTACAGAGATGTTAATGAAAAACTACTCAGAAGTCTAATATAGGTGTGCTTAAATAAGAAATAGTAAAATGGTTTGAAGTCTGGATTGACTGTAGTAATATTAGGACTCACAGTCCTAATAATTTAAGTGTCAGCAGAAACCTCTTAAGTATAGGGACAGATTCCCCTGGAGAATGCAGGGAAGCCATAGAGGAAGGAATTTCTGTGGCTTTACCTAATTGCTTTTACATAAACATTTCTGGGCTATTGACCTGAGGTCACAGTAAAAGGAATTTACTGCCAACAGTTTTCATCTTCTGCATCCACTTTCTGTGTCTCACAGCCCAGAATGTTTTTCCCACTTTGTTGCATGTTGCCTTTCACCTGACAGTTGTGCTGTGAGGAAAAGTAGTATATTGCTAACCATATATTGAGTCTTTTTGCATGTCTAAGAATGTGGCAAAGTTTAGTTGGGAACTAGTTGCCTGCTGGACTGCAGAGGCATCGTAAAAGTGTCTTCCCCATTCTGACTGGTTGCTGCATGTACCCATGTCTAAGGAAGAAAAATTGAAAAGTTGAAAGAAGAAAGGAGATTTCAAGGTACATATTTCTTTCAATAACTGATAAGCTTGTGAAATGGAATTACTTTTTTTAAACAAATAAATTTGTACTTTGCACTAATATTATTGCTACCTTCATACTTCATATATCTCTTAATAATTAACTTCAAGTTTGAGATGTGTTTCATTAAACTAAGAAGAAAAAGAAACATTCATATAATAGCAATCATTAATGATTTATATTTAAATCATGCTTTTAGAATATGCTTTAATATTAAACACTTTTCTTACTGAAAAAATGTGCATGGTACATATAAGTACTTATCAAAATGATTGGTACATGTGAATCTTCTTTGAGAAATTTGCATCCCTAAAAAATGCTAGTATGGAATTTATTTTTACAGCAAAAAATAGTAAAAGTATGCTACACTTAACTTCCATGGCTCTAAAAAAAGCATACCCATTCTCATCTCATGTTTGGTTCCCATCAACTATTGTTTTCTGACTATTAATTATATGCACTGCATAAATGATGCTTTAAAAAACTTCTTCTTTACCACTGTAATTTTAGTCAACCCAATTTGCACTTTATTTTTTAATATCACAATATTACATTAGGTATGTAATTGAAGTCAGCAAGCAAAACCCCAAACAGAAACAGAAAGAAACTATGGTTTATCCTGATTGCAGTTTGGAATAGTTTTATGAACAGTTGCAAGCAAGGTTGGCAAACCTTGTGGGTACAGTATCAAAATTTATGGCTTTACCATGTTTTGGCAATATAACATTATATATTCTACTGTCTAAAGTGTTCTATAGCTCTTCCTAATGTAATTCAGCAGTTTTTGTAGTTTGCTTCTTGGCAGGAAACAGATAATACATTCATTTTGCCAGACCACCAGAGCCCCTCCTCTGTTTTGAATCCCCAGGGTAGCAAAAGTCTTGTCCAAAACATTGATGTGTTCACTTTTTTCTCCTTTTCCTATTTGTTTGGGTTTTTTCTCAATTTCTTTTTCTTCCACCCAAAACACTGTGTTCATCTTAAGAGTCATAATCCAGTTTGATACAGAAAAAATGGTACCATGGCAAATGTTACCTTTTCTGAACCAGGAGTGTCAAGCATCTTGGATAATCCCACTTGTTTTTCCCACTGCCAGAGTCCTGACAGAACCTCTCTCTAGACTTCTGTAGTGCAACAAGTGAAGGAATCCCCGGGTTCAGATTTGATTTTTGCAATTTCTGTGACTATGCTCTCACACCAGTACCCACCTCCATGTAGTTACACTCCTGGTAAATCTGCAGTTTTGTTTGCTTTCAATTATAGAGATTGTGGAATTCACATCCTGACTAAAATATAGAAAAATCTTTTACTCAGTGCAACTGTGTAAGTATTTCTTCATTGTTTGTCTTCTACATAAACTTCATTTGCAAAAATACAAATAAGAAAACCAGAAGAGCAACAGAAAGCAGAAGTTCTCATACTCAGATTTTTCTAAATTGTAATGGCAAATCAAGCTTTTCATTGGATTAAACACAAAAATGTTGGTGTATTTATACAGTACTGGCATATTGTTTATATATGTATATTCCAACCTATTGAATTACACTGGCTAGGGTCATACTTTAGAATATTTGCACAGAGATTCATGACCAATCAGAATATGATACAACTGCAATTTTAATTTATTTTAATTTCTGCATATTATGGTGTAAAGAATTATGAAGTTGTTTGCCTGAAATTAAACAGCAAACCATATACCAGTGCTCTTTCCTTTCCCAGAAAGCAAATCTTCCCTGGGAAAAGGACTGGTTACAATTTCAGCAGGAGGGCCTGGCCTTCCTTTGACTCGTGCAGTCTGTTTTAATAACTGTTAATACCTTCTGATGGGGGCATTGGAGAAACTACATTGTGTATGACTATTAAATACTCAATTCCATCTTCAACATTGAAATATGGGGTCCTTCCAAAATGAACTCTCTTCAGTAATGTCTCTGTAATCTGCTTGTGTTCACAGTGTTACAAACATTTTCACTTTGCTGCTGAATTATTGAAATTTTGGACTACAGTCTTTTAAATGTTATATGCCTGTATGTTTGTAGCACCAGTGAGCACAGATCGATGACATCTATCCTCGTGCCTTGTACACCACAATAAGGAAAACATCAAGCCTGATACAGTCACATTTGGAAGTTTTGCTTTTGTGTGCTTTGAGCATGAGGATTTTCTTATATGTAAATAAGAGATATATTCCTACCACTTTTTTCTGGTGTATATGCAGAATGATAAAATCTCTGGTATGCTTTTCTGTAAGTATATGCATATTAGAGGTGGCCTTCTTTTAGAATTTAATAACTTAGTGTTTTCCAAAACAAACAAAATAAGGTGATGAGGAGAAACAGCTTGTTGGAAAATGGCAGTAATGGTTTTCTACCAACAGTTTTCCACCAGGGCTTTTGTAGGCTAACTATATGATCTGATGTGGCCTTGTACATCCTGTGTTTTATATATATATATATATACACACACCCATATATATATATGGTTTCTCTGGGTGCTTAAAGGAAGGTATTAGTTAGAAAAAAAATGTATTATTTTATAACATACTAGGTTTTAGGAATTAGAGGGTTAAAAATTTGCTGAGTATATATTCAGCCTAGTGTTCTAGAAATTGCAAAATGTAATTTTGTTTCTTTAATATTTTATATGTGTTTCTTTATATTTCCCATAAGCTGTGAATCTAAATAAAACCCCCAAACCACTTCATTTTTTTGTACCCTTTATGCAAATCAAGTCACATGTTCTGTTTAAGACAAGGTATATAATTGCACCCAAAAGTGCAGCTGGAAATGGTGGGTTTCAATTCAAAATGCTTTGGAGCTGCTGCTGAAATCCTCATCTTGACACTGAAGTGCAATGTAAAGGATTCTGAAAAGAGCCCAACTATATCTATTTCATGAAATACAAGCCTACCACAGCTGCAAATTTATTTGAGGATGTTGATGGTGCTGCCTTTTCCACTGACAAAGGAAAGACCACAGTACTTTGCTACAGGGATCTCCTCCACTGGCCTTTCTTTCCTTTCCTTTTTCTCTTGTCCTCCAAATCACCATCATAGTTGTCAGAACATTATCAGTCATGGAGTAGGGTAGGGAGATGGATCTGATAAGCAATGAAAAAGGCTAAGCATGCTCTCAACTCCTCAATTCTAGCTACTGTAAGCTAAATTGTTGCTTTACCTGTAATACAGTAAATATTGTAGAAATTTTAAGAGCAACTTATTATTGATACAATACTGATCACTATCAGGATATGGACTTTGCTTTTCTTCTTAGGCTATTTTCATTTGTTTCTTCTGCACCCATTTAATGGAATATGTAGGTCTCTTGAAAGGTAAGGTTGAAAATTGCAAGTCTGGCCTGCATTATGTAACAAATTTTTTTAAATGCAGCTCTTTTATTTTCTTTATACTAGTAAAGAAAATCAGTATATTTCATTTAACCAAATTCATTCCTCATTCATTTTCAAGGAGTCAAAGAAATTAAGAAGTTTAACAGACTAACTTCACGGCACATCATGAGCTTGTTACTTTGGAGAACAAACAAATTATTTTTTTATAGCTTTACAACCCACTTCTTAATGCTTGCAGTTGCATTTACATGACCTCCAAGGGCCCAGGTCTTACCACTGAAAAGTCATGCACGATGGGGGAAAAAAAATAAAAGAAACTACAACTCCCCCTCCCACCACTGAAGACATTCTCTGTTTAAACCATTCCTACACCATGTTTCCATGTGAACTGCATCATATTGATTTGTCTCTACAATGTGATGTGGGTTTACTAAAGGATTATAGGGCTGCACACATGCTTTTCATAAACCCTGCATGCATGGCTGATTTTGTCTTAATAAACAGTGCATCCGTTAATCCCATGTTTGTTTGTTTGTGTCTGCAGCGATGCAGAGGACCATAAACCTCTAAAAAAAGGAAGCCGGACACCTTCAGACAGAACTGTGAAAAAAGAAGACAGTGATGATAGTTTAGTTGACTATGGAGAAGGTGTAAATGGTCAGTTCAATGAGGATGGCTCCTTTATTGGACAATATAGTGGTAAAAAAGAGAAAGAACCTGCAGAAGGAAATGAAAGCTCTGAGGCTCCTTCTCCTGTAAATGCCATGAATTCATTTGTGTAACCACAGAACTTGATCCCCTTGTATCTCCAGTTTGCTTAAAGCACTTGTACATCCTCCTTCTCATACTATGAACACGCAGGTATCGGAGCTCCTCACCACCAGAAGTTAATGCTATGAGAACATGCAGGTTAACACCAGTACACAGCATAATGACACAGTAAGTGGTATGTTACTATGAATCAAAATAGAAAATTCAAATTTTGCTCAAAACTTGGGTATTTTTACTTTTTTTTTAAAGGAACTGACACAAACAGTAACATCAGCTTGTAATTTTGTTTCCTGTTGAAAATACAGTAAAATGCATGGGAAAAAAAAACCCCCTACACAACTCACAGATAATCTCGTGTACACTATAAAGACATGGTTTGACAATTTGTTATGCAGTCCTCAGCTGAATCCCTAGATATGAATTCCGTTCTCAATGTCAGAGTGTTATAGTAGTATTATATAGAACTTCAATGTCTTTGTGGACATTGTTGTGAAATTGGTGACTTAATGTCTAGCTATCATATGTCTTTTTGCAAGACAGTTAGGAACAGTATGTACAGTATATAAATGCTAAATGATTTAAGTATGACACTTGCATTTGCTGATGCTTAATGAGACCCTGTTATCTGCTCTTTGCTCCTATTACTTTATAGCCTTTTTAATCTGTCAGGTATTACGGCAGTACAGTGTTCTATTTTTACATCAAAACATATTGAATTGATTTTAGGGCATAAAAGATATGCATTGCAATGCATTTTGGAATTTTTACAGTCACTGAAAGAAAAACTTTAAAAATTAAGGAAAATATTCCAGAAAACACAGGGCAAAGTACATTCAGTGCCTTTATACGATATGCATTCCGTAATGTGCTGTACTACTAAATCAGTTAGTGCAGTAAACTGTGATCAGCAGACTACTGTCATTGCCAAATAAAGTAAAAATGTGAAGAAAAAGAAGTGCTATGAAACTGTTGTGCTAAAAATGGAAAGATTGAAATATTTTAAATTACATAAAGAAGAGTATGATTTTTCCCTTTAGAAAAAGCTTTGTACACAGTTACAGCACAACATGTTTTCATGGCCTTAGAATACTTAAAACAAAAACGAAAACAAACAAACAAACAAAAATCCCAAAACACAACCAGAGTTAAATTATTTACTAACACAGCAAGGAATAAGCTCTTGTAAAATAAATCATTAAAAACCCAAAGCAGCTGACTCCATCATTTGGTGAGAATGCATTTCTCTCTGTGTCCCAGCCTGATCAGTGTGGCAGCTTTGTAATTATCTCCAGCCTGAAGCAGTGTGGGGGTTACGCTCGGACCACAGCATTCCATCTGACAAGTGCTAATACGGTTTATTGGTAAAGGATTTCCCTTATCGGTTAAAAAATTATTTTCTCGCATACTATATCAATCAAATGTTTACCTCCAAATAGAAATTTTTATAACAACCTATGGTTGAAGGAATGCTCAGTTTCATTTGCCAATAAATTGGTTTTTCATAACTTGCATCAAGTTTAATTTTAAGTAAGCTTTTTATATGTAGATATTTTGTTGAATTTGTAAATACACTTAAAGCGTAGATGCTATATGCTTCTAGGTGTTACAGACAAATAAACCAAGAAAGCTGATGTTGTACTGTGTAAGAAGTACTATAGGCAATGGTGTGCATGGTATTTTAAAGCATCTACTTATATTTTTTTTATTTTCTTTTTTCTTTTTCTTTTTTTTTTTTTTTGTGGAAATAAAATAGTTATCTGGTCATTTACTGCAGATTCCAACTAAACCATTCAGAGCTTTTGCCAGTGCACTACATTAGCCCATAGGACACCTTGCAGCTTTCATGTATATATTGTAGGTAAAGCACAACTGAAGTAATCCCAAATGTAACCCAGCTGTAATAAGCTTCTTTCGCACCTTTGAGCTTTCCATTGGTCAGTTTTTTTAATGGGAACTGAAATACAAAATGAATTCTATGAACACTGATTACAAAGCACAAAGAGAACATTTCTTCACAGGATTTGCCAATGGTTTTGGTGAAAAAAATATCATTTTACTCTTATTTAATTGTAGATGCTGAATTATCTGTGCATGTGGGGGTAAACATACAGACTCACTTCTGTAATAGTGCAACGG